GACTGTCTGCTGGGATTATTCATTTGGTTTCTTAGAAGTTTTGGCATTCAATGAATTTTCCAGGCCTTCCTGCGATGGAAACCCCTATGGTTATTTCATCATTATGTCAGCCTGTGGGCTTATTGAAAACAGGCCCAGGGTTCCAGGGTGTTAGTTTGGAGCAGTGAATAGCCTTCCTTAACCGTGAGCAGGGCTCCCGACCCCGGAGCTCATAGCACACGCCTGTTGTTTGGAGTCCAGCTTGATGATGAATAGTGTGTAAAATAGTAATTGTTTTTCAGTGGTTTTTACCATTTTCCCCTCTAGAGGAACCTTTGGTAGCTCAAGGACTTCATGTCTCTCACGACAATGAGGTACCTGGAAGTCATCAGGAGTTTGATCTGGAATTTTAATCAAGTATATTCTGTACCACTTCTCTGCATTGTACCAGTCTACGTACCCCTTTAGCAATTGTAAAACACGTATAAAACAAAAAAACAGCAATCAATGATTCTTTAATCTGCTCTAAGTTGGTATTTTTGACACGTCATTGCAATGCTTTTCCATGCTTGTACCCCCTTTTCCACAGGGCCTACTGATAACAAAAAGTATGGATGCTGTAACAATCACACACTCATAAAATGCTTTTCTATTCTATTTTTCTATCTTTGATGACAAGTTGAAACGATCTGTGGTGGCAGCTGGAGAGAAACAAGCAACAGCAGAGTATCGCATCAGCAAAAGGTACACAAGACGCAGTTACTTGGTAGATACTGTATATGTGTTTATGCTTTCAAGTAGTTATTTATCGATATCTTATTCCTAGCGCATGGCTGAAGGGCTCATCACACTCCACTGTTGGGAAGCTGGACAACAAGATCTCCGTGCTCACAGGTTTGAATGTGAAGCATCCATATGGCGAGCATCTCCAAGTGGTTAATTATGGGATTGGGGGCCATTATGAACCTCACTTTGATCACGCTACAGTAAGTTGATTGATATTGTTTAGCAAGTTCAGACATGTTACTGTTGTTGGTGCCTACTGCAATATATATATATATTTATACCAATTGCTTACATTTTTTCCAGTTGCCTTCAAGTCCTGTATTCAAGCTCAAAACTGGGAATCGAGTGGCAACCTTTATGATATATGTGAGTCAAGTCCTACTCTAACCGTCACATGACCCAAGTAGCAGCCAGAGGTTCTTGGGTTCTTGTTCCTGTTCCTCTAAACCACAAAACAGGCCTGTGCATTTCATGCTGCAAGACTGAAGCAATTATACTTTGATCAGCTGTCAAACAAACTCTAATATTCTCTGGCCTACTTCTATCTCTTTGCTGTTAGTGGGTTTTTCTTCATTTCAACCATGTTTATTTTGTAACTTATCAGTATTCATATATTCTGGTAGTGTTTTTATCATTAAGAGTCCATCATTTGAGTAAAATTGGATGGTGATAATAAACAAAAACAGAGCAGCAGACAGAGTGGCTTTTCATGAGGGGAGCACAGAAACACAAGACACGACTCTGAAGGAATGTCCTTTTCCACAGCTCAGCACTGTCGAAGCAGGTGGGTCCACAGCCTTCATCTACGCCAACTTCAGCGTCCCCGTTGTGGAGGTAAACAACTCTGCAAGTGGTCATATGAGCTCTAATCTGCAGTTTTTCTTTTGCCTGGAGCTACATTTTTTGCACCTCACCCGGCGCTTCACTCACATTCTCTGGTGCAGCTGTCAAAATGCTCAAAGGTCAGAACGACGGCATGAGATCCTCAGCTAGATAAACAGCTAGAATTACCAATAAGAAGGTATAAGAACCTATGCTTTACCAAACATAAACTACAAATATATTATAGTTTTTGCTTGGTGTCTTTTGTGTCGCAAATTAGTTCGAAATTTAATATATTTTATCAATCAAATTAATTGTGAAATTGTAATAGTCTACTACATTCTGACAACATATCAACCAAAAAATGAATCAATTGACCAAATCATTAATTGTCCGATTGTTTAATAAACATCTTTGTGAATTGCAACCTTTCAAACAAAAGGTTTTTTTTGTGGTTCTACATTTCACAGAAAGCTGCCATTTTCTGGTGGAATCTCCATAGAAACGGTCAAGGAGATGCAGACACGCTGCATGCCGGCTGTCCTGTGCTCATCGGTGACAAATGGGGTAAGAGTCAGTAGATCCAGTATGATGTGATTATGCTGCAAAAGAAGCCAACAAGTTAGTTTAATATGGAAAATAAAAATGTTAACTGATCTAATATCAGTCCTTTCATACAGATATCCTTTTGTTGCATCATTTTCATGGCCTCTTTCCAGTTTGAAGCTTTCTTAGCATGCCGCTAATATGCAACATCTGACTACGCTATATCTTTAGAGATGTTACAAAGTGCAGTTGAGTTCCTGCTTATTTTGCAAGCTGAGCAGCTGCTGTTGGTTGGCCCAGATCATAGGACTTTTGAAATGTGTTTTAAGGACCCTGTTAAACTGACAGAAGTCTATTAATCATCAAAAAGCAGCATAAGAAGCATTTGGTGTGTTCTTTTTTAGCAAACACAAACATCAGAAATTAACGCTGTGGCTCAAACTAACAAAACAATATATGTATGCATTTTGTGCCTGTCATTGACAAATGAAAACATATTTCCATATGTTTCAGTGGCAAACAAATGGATCCATGAGCACGGCCAAGAGTTCCAACGCCGCTGCAGCCTGAATCCTGAAGAGTGAGAGCTGGAGTGACGGTTGGGCCCCTGAAAGTGAAAGAGCCATCCTCTACAATTAAGAGGCGCGCTTGGAGGCAGAGGGGAGGCGAGAGTGAGCACACGGGCAGGGAAGGTGAAAGCCGTCGTGGGACAGCCTGCATCTGTTATTGGAAGCCCCAAGGGATCCTGGAGCGCACAGTGCTGCAGTCCACATGGATAGCAAAAGACGGAGAGGCGGCGTAGCAGAGGGCTGGGGAAGTTTGCAATCAGCCAGTAGAAGCCAAATGCTCTCTGTTCTCCTACTGGCCAGTTCTTGGAGCAAGGCTTACAGACACTCTGCTGGTTTCTGTTAACTATGCTTGGCAAGGCTGTTTGCTTTCATTACAAAGCAACTCAGCTGTACTCGAGTACACGCATGTGTAAATGCAGAGGTTTGAAATATGTGCTTAAATCAAAAGAAGATGTGTATAGAATGATACACGAGGCGTCGTTCATCTACCTTATGCAATGGGAATCTGTCAAGAATAAAGTTGTGTTTTAGGGTTTTAATATTCAAGTTATTTAATTGTGATGATGCTTCCATTATGTGCTGGATTAAGCGGACACACGGCATATGTCATCATATGAGTGGCAAAATATTTTAGGACAACATCTGTGCTTAGTACTGCCGATTAGCAACAGAGAGTTTGATTAAAGTTCTTCCGTAATGGATTAGGTCAGACCTCAGACTGGTGGTATGAGTCAAACGAATCAGTCATTGTGAGTCTGCCAGATAAATCCCGGCTGACTGAACAATGTGGTTATTGCTGCTTGTGTGACACTCTTTCAATAACTGGCTGTCTAATGGAACAGATGAACCAGATCCAGCCGCCACTTATTGAGCCTCAAAGGCTGGGCGTCATTAATCACGCACTGCATGCCAAGTGATTGGGAACAGGTCTGCCTGAGACTCCTTGTCCAAACTTGCCTTAACCAAGCTGTCTTCATACCACTCAGATATCTGCACCTAAGTAGGTTATAACCAATCTTAAACAGTGTGTAGTGGACCAAACACAATTAAACTTCACTGTGTGAGCTCGGGCACCAGCAAGCATTTATGAGGGACCTCTACAGGTTAAATTATGGGATCTGTAAGTGTGGAAGGGGGTGAGAAAGGGAAAATACATCTGCCTGCTCACAGTGATAGACCTTTTCCTTCCAGCTTCCCACAGTGTATACAAACAGACAGACTTGGCAAGTACACACTGACTCACAGAAATGTTTCCAGAATTCAAAGGGCTTTATTCTGCACTCATCCTTAACACCCTGAGCAGCCCTCACTGTTACCATGATCACCAAAACAAACATGGCTTCAAAATGATTTGTGCTATGCAAGAGCATAGTCTGAACTACCTAAAGCATACATGTCTAGACCTTATGCCAACATCCATACATAAGTAGTTAACACCATGTTACTGGGGAATTTATTGTGCACAACACACTTGAATGCAGCGCATTCTGCCAGAGAAGCTGCCCAGAAACAGCTGAATGAAGTGAATCAAAAATACAGCAAACCTTTTTAAATCTCATACGAGAAAATCCCGCCATGCTGCAGTTAGTGAGCAGCTTTAGTGATGGAAAGATCAGTGATGCTCCCCTCTGCTGGCCACGTGAAGAAAGGCTGCACGGTGTGAAACTTTACATTTTTTACATTATTTTTCACACTTTTCTAAAGTCTATGCTACAATTTAAAAACTTTCAGTATATTTTTATTGAACATTTTTTTCTTAATGTGTGTTGTGTGAAACCATAATATTGACATTTGGAATGCATTCAAAATGGATTAATAGGATTGCATTAATATTTAATTACTTTTATTGTATTTTTGTTTTTGATTGAGGTAAAGAAGATAATTTTCTAAATTATGAGGGCAACTTTGGGCAGAGCATGTGTTTCACAATTAAAACGTGAAAATCCAAACTTAAGCTTAAGTGAAAATAGAAATAATACAAAGTAATTAACTTAAGCGTTACTTTTTATTTAGGTCTTCTAAGTATATTTTGTTAACTGTATAATATCGAACAACATATAAAAAAATAATAATTTCCACAGGATCTAGTTGTAGAATATATTATTTCAGTAAATAGGTGCAATTATTTATAGGCACATTTTATCAATTCGATCTTAGCTATCACCTCAGACGTGTGTAGAAACACATTTTTGCAGAAACGTAACTTTTGATCATAAACATCATCATAAACTACACTTCCCAGAATGCAGCTGTGCAACGACGCGGCAGCGCAGGCGGCGGACGTTGTTGCTCAGAAACAGTTTAGCGCGCTGCCGATCCTGCGCCTGTTGGTGTATAATATGTGCAGTTCAAGCGAGCAGCTCTGTTAAACGGATTATTGTTGTGATAAAGAGCATAACTACTAAAGTTTCAGCAACTGCAATGGCCAGGCGGTCCTTCACAACCTTTTTCCATTGAGCTGCGGGATGAAGAACAGAAAACATCGGTCCCTCAAAGCTGGATGTAGCAAGAAGAGAGGTAAACTGTTGTTAGCCTAACCACCTGTTAGCAGTAGAGCTAACGTTAGGCTAGGAACGTTATCTGTTAGCCTCAGCTGTCAGTCTCACGTTATTAGCCGCGGAATTAGCCTACTAGCTAATGTTATGTTAAATTCGGCTTAGTTTATCTTTCTTATGTTTTTTTTGCATGTGTGGTCAGTGGTGTTGACGTGCCTTAGTAACGTAAAGCATTTGTTTATTAACCTCTTTACGCGGTTTGAAGGTTTACCAAAGGATGATGAAAGATAAGTAACGTTAACGTTATAACATCATTTTTACCATAGAGGAACATATCAACTTTTTAACGTTGCTTAGTAGAAAAGTGTCTTTCGATATTATTTATTATATTGCTATTTCTTGCTGTTCAGTTTAAAACTTCCCAGTATTTGTTTTTGAAAACTTCTGCTGCATTATGTTTAGATATATAACTGGATAAGATAGATAAGATGGAAATGCAAGTAACTGAGACTTTTCAATACTTAGTGTGCGTAGATCTTGACTATAAGCATTCAGGATATTAGCTGCTCCGGTGCATATGTGGCATTTTTGTCAGTGGTTTCTTACATGTTAAGGTCATCGATTTTAATGACAAATGTTGCAACAGGAATTGGTACAGTAGCTCAGAGGGATTGGTTATTGATATTATAAACAGTTTCTGTTGGTCAGATGTTAAAGTGTCAAATCGATCTTCAAGCCATTGAACAGTTTTCTCCTACATATTCCTCTAAAAGTAAATAACCATTGAGCTCAGATCTGCAGCAAACACTGCTCTTAATTGTCCTATTTAATGTTTTTCTCAGATGTCATTATTTACAGTATTTGCATTGTTTGTGTCTTGACCTTGCTGTAATACAAAATTACTCTTCCAGTCCCCAGCGACGTGTCCCCCGCCACCAGCCTCCCTCCTCTAGTGGAGGGCGAGCTAAGATGCTTCCTGCAGGTATCAATAAGCCGGGTATTGTGGACAATTCACAAGCCTCCCTCTGCAACATTCGTCCGTCTGCGCTGGTGGGGAGAGTCTTCAAATGGGACACACTTCTTTCCAAGGGATGGATCCCATGCGTCACAGAAGACTATCAAGACCACATCCCGCTTCCCCATCCGCTGTGGGCCAAAGCAGTTCACCTCATATTTGACAGGTAAAAAAAAGGCTTTGATATTTTTACATTTCCAATAATGTTTTTTTTTTTAAAACATCTGCCAACCTGTCTTTGATGAGCAGATATGAGCTCGCTGGTGCTGGAGCTTCTGACAAAACCGGATCATTTGCCAATCGCACGGGCTGAGGTTGCAGGCATCTCTCGTCTCTCTCTGTCACACCCCATCAGTGGATTTTACACGCTTGTATCTCCGACATCTGAGAAGTTGGGAGAGTTACAGGTGAGTGGAAACCTGAACCGCATTGAGGTTTGGGACCAAAAGAGCATCGCAAGTTACTTTGAAAGGCACAGGAACCTAAAACATTGGATGCAGTGTGCCTTTTAAATCATAATTTGGAATTGTGGCACTGACAAACAAACAATTGATTTTATGCACCATTTTGTAATGTTCAACATGTTATAACTTTAATCACATTGTATTTGACTTCCTCAGGTTTCCCTTAATTTGGAGCCTCTTACAGAAGCCTATGACAGCAGCAGCTCAGGTCCCATCCCAGAAATCGGCAAGGAAAGACCTCAAATCACCACGCTGGCCATGCCCTCTCAGCCCAGAACGCTCTCAGCTGGCAGTGGGAAAGGATCAGCTGGGAGCAGCTGTGGAAACACTCCAAGGTTTGAAGTTGTTCTTGTTGTCGTTGTGATGTTGCCCTTTATAATCAAGTTCCTGAATAATGTATTAAAAGCCTACTGGTACTACGGTTAAATCTTGAGGACAATAATCTTACCGCATATCTTGCTGTATGTTTTCAGAGGAAAAGACCACTTGTATTTCCAAAATGCACAGAAAGACGAAGAACCACTTGAGAATCTGATGCCCACAAAAAACAAATCTCACAACAGTGAAAGTAAGGAGCCTTGTGGCCAAGCAACCACTGATATCCTTTCAGGTTGGTCGCAGCTTGACTAAACATCCCATGTACAGGACACACGGTGACACACTCTATTGACTTTATTTTTACAAATACCCAATATGTTCCTTCATCTCAGTTATTCTAGAGCGTGGGAACAAGCTCAGAAATGCTATGGTGGTATCGGCTTTGCATTGTGACACGGATTCTGCCCCGGCTCTGAAAGACACTCCACTACCTCTCCCAAAGGATAACATCCTGCTACCTTCAAAGTTTGTGTTTCTAAAGTTTGGAAAAGAAGCAACGACAACGTTTTCTATCATCTTTTAATGCACATTCTATAATAATTCTATCAAATCTATATTATAATATAATAATAATTTGTCTGCAGGCGCTTCCCTTCTCCCACTGGAGGTTTTCTTCAAAATATTCTTTTTGCTGATTCCACTCTAAAGCCCTCTGAGGAAGTTGCTGTCATCTCAGACTGCAGTTTAGACTGTCCCGTTGACATGGACAACAGAGCTGTGGACCTGCTTCTTGGCAGGTACTTGACTGCACATCTACTCCCAGAGACAACAGAATATATGAGCCGCATTATTTTTTTCTTTCTTTCCGTTTGGTTTAGCTTGAACACATCTCCTCTGCATCTGTGGGATGGAGATGGCTCAATCCCTGATTCTCTGTCTGGCCACAGCAGCGTGTGTGAGGACAGCGAGCTCAACGATCCGCAATATGATCAGAGCTTATTGGAGAATCTCTTCTACAAAACTACTGTAAGAAGACTATTTTCACTTGATTGTGTCACATCACTGTCGGTATTCTCCTTTTTTAAAAATTATTATTGTTTTAGATTTCAGATATCAGACCAAACGACACAGAGGCGGAGGGCCAGGGAACAGTGTCCCCAAGCAAACACCAGCTGACGCAGGCTGCACCCCACCTCGCTGGAGGGTAAGGGCTTTCCCACCACCCACAGCGGTGTCGCATAGCACTCATCTCTTCAACTCTCACTCACATTCTCACTATTGTCATCTGGTTACGTGACGAAATAACAGAAATACTATTTTTTTTTCTGTCTGTGTGGTCCTCTCCATAATGTTGTTAGACAGTTATAATAACAATCTCATCCTGTCAGCGGCAGAAACAAGTGCTTTAAGTCATCGTACTGCAGCACAATCATGAAATAAATATGAATAAATAACTAAATGCTCTTTAGTTTGTTTAATAAAATTAAACTTAAATTACTTCTGTAATATATATATATATAAAAATAACACTAACTCAAATTATCATATGGGGAAATACTAGTTTACACAGGACGTTTAGGATACACACAAGGTACCAATATATAGACCAGACATAGCACAGACCAAACATTCAGTATGAGAATATGGATGTGAACATCCAACCCTTTTGTACTTTTAAGACACTTATTCGTTGTATTTTGACTGGGTCCAGTTCAAACTCTGCAGGTGCTGGTGGGATTCCTCCTGGCGTTAGTGCAGAGCTGATGTCGCTGCTGAGTTCGATCAGACTGGCAAGAGTGGCGATCGACTCCCTGGCCGTGTCTGCAGGCGGTGCAACCGGCGCACATAGAAAGACCCCGAGCAAAGGGAAACCTCCTCGAGCGGTAACCGGCAAGAAGTGGTGGGTGAAGCATTTTAAATGATTTTCACCTCATTCCAAAATAACCTTGCAGTTATTGGTAAAGAAAATCATGCGATGGCTCCGCTCTCTTTCACTAGCACATATTTCATCGAGTACGTGTTCCCAGTGGCCTCCACTTCCAGTCGACATGATCGTAGTAAGAGTGGAGATGGAGAGGTGACAAGAGCTGCTGCCAGTAAAGTCACAGGAGGAAGTATGACCTCTTACTACACGCCTTATTGAAATGCTGGTACGGGTTGAGGGCTGACTCTGACACACTCTTCCGTGCTGTTTAGTGGTGAAGTTCCATCAGCCCTCCGTGTTTCCGGTCCACTTTGATACATCAACAGTGAAGAAATGGTGGGGAACTGATCTGATTTTCAACATTTACTCACGAAAGAGCGACCAGAAGAAAGTAAGTACCTAAGTGGAGTTCTTACGTGACTTTTCCTTTTAATCATACATTGTAATGTTCAACAGTGAGCACAACCTCTAAATAGGATTATTTTATAAACTACAGCTTTCCTTTAAGAAAAATATATATACCCTCCTGTTTCTAATAAATGCCACTAAACTCAGGTAGACATTAACTGAAAAAAATCCCTCAATGAACGAGGTGCCGGTAATGACGTGATGTCAATGTGATGATGACTTCTCTTGTTTTCAGCCGGTTCCCATCGGCAAGGCAGTTCACCCACTGCGATGTCTGCTGGAGAGCAAGCAGCTGAGTCAGTCTGTCGTCTTACCTGTGCAGAGTGTGGAGGCAGACGGGAAGACACAGGAGATTGGACCGCTCAAGGTAATGAGCTTCTTTTCTCTTTTTTTCACCCTTAAGTTTATATTTACACGGCTGATATTTATCATCTTAATGTCTGGCATAGAAGTAATACTATTTTCTTTCTCAGGTCTCACTAGCACTTAGTAGAGAGAACAGAGATTTCCCTTCTGAAAAGAGTAAAAGAAAAGTGGCTCAGAGAGATGCTTCACCTTCCCACACGGCGCCCAGTCCTCAGAGAGAGACCAGCTCCAGGTCTCCACGTGTTCACACCGACAGGGAGGAGTTACCAACTCACTCCTTAGAAGTTCCCAGGCTGAATGTTTGGACTCCTCAGAAACCCTCGAAGGAACCCTCACCCCATCCCGGACTCCACACATCTCCTCATCGTTCACGGCATCAGGAGGAAGACTCTCAACTCCTGCTGCATACGTTGCTCATGGTTCCAGATGGAAAGAACTTTAACTGTGGGCCCATGCAGGCTCCGAACGTGTATTTTAACTGCAAACTGTGGTGTGATGAGACGGCGAGATCTGTCATCAGCTGGGGTCAGGCAAACCCCTGTTTCAACTTCGTTCAGGTTAGTCCAGGAGATCAAATCCTCTAACTAACTTTTATTTTTTTTTATTAGGCCTCTTTATTTGAAGCAAAAATCTTCTTTGTAAATGCCGACTCTCAGTGACCCATGTGATTCTGTCTCTCCATCCCGTCACTCAGGTGACGCCTGTCGCCTTAACATCTAAGCTGCTGGAGCGAATGAAGAATAATGTGATGGTGATTGAGGTGTGGCAGAAGACGGCAAGTTCGGGGCAGGATCGACTCCTCGGCATAGTTAAACTACCTCTCCACCAGTTCTACATGTCATTTAGGCAAGTGGTAGAGAGACAATGTTTCCAATGTGTGAGTAGGTATGAATTAACCCAGAAAGGTCACTAGGTAGGAGTAAACAAGTAGCATGAGTCATCCTATTTTTTTTTTCTCGTTATTTTCAACCTATAACCTGCCCTCTGGGGGGCGCTGTGGCACCCTCCTCCAAATGGCATGCGTTCTCTTTTATCCTGCAGGCATTGAATTTCTTAAATTCTCAGAATGAAATTCCGGGAAAGTTCTTGCACATATTAATATACACACACTTTTTAAATGTGGAGGCAAACATACCTGCCACAGAGATTAGTAACCCTGCTCTCTATTTTTACTTCCCATCCAGGGATCCAAAGATCACCCACCTTCTTCTCCAGGCCCAGTACCCAGTGTTGGGGGTGGACTGCTACATGCCAGTCGTCGATGTGTTCTCAGGTAGTTGTAATGGACACCTCAGGGTCGTTTTGGCTATGGGCCAGTCAGAGCAAATAGTCTCCCTCCAGCGCACAAGGGATGAAGAATACGACCGCTTGCCTCATCTACTGAGACCAGTTCATCTGCTTGATCACCAGCCTCATTCAAACACAAAGGTGTGTGTTCATGTCTGTGACACAAAGTGCAAATCATTTTGTGAATGTATAATAATCAAGGTTAAGCAGCACCTTCCAGCGTTGTTCATAGAAAAGATTTAAATGTCCACCAAAATGTTGCGTTATTGAGAATTTTTGTTCACCTGATTTTCTAAGAAAAAACTATTCCAATTGCCCAAGATGCAAAGCATTGACACGTGAAACAGCTAAATTGCGCACTGTGGACGTTAATGGATGATTCTTTTTTTTATCGACTGCCCTCGGTTATATTTGGAATTCGACTCATAGTCTCAAATACAATTGATTGTATTATTAATTTATTTTTCTATAATTAATTTTTCAAAATTTCTAAGCACTGAAGAGAGGATTTCCTAGCTTAAGCCATACCTTCCGCAGCCTTTTAATCGGACGTTTACAATTAGGGAAACCCAGGAAAGCTCTTTTCTGCACTTAAATGGCTAACTTGTTTACAAACAAGTTAAACACTGCTTCTGTTTAAATGTTAAAATGTTTGATTCCTGTGGATTATTTGAGATCATATGAAGGTCATGAAAATGTTCGCTACTGAAATCTCATCCTAATTTCACATGAAAAGGCTCATTAAATTCTTACATGACAGTGCTGTAAACTGTTTCAATTTTCTTGCATTTATGTCAGCCGAGATATTTCGCACCTGTGGACTAAGTGCATGCCGTCTTGGTTTCCACTCTGTTTCCTCCTCAGGGGCGATCGGCACAAGAGGAACCAATGAGAGAACATCTGTTTGTGATAAGAGTGGAGGGGGTTAAGGGCCTCACACCTCTGCAGTCCACCGTTTGGGGAGAAGCTGACTGCTACGTCCAGTACGGCTTCCCCTGTCAGGAAGGTGACCCTGCTGCAAATTTGGACCAAAGCCTCATAGAGAGCAGTAAGGCCATTTTACTGTATTAAACCTTCACCATCAAGAATTTCCCGAGACGTTTCTCCTCCCTCTGCGTCAGTCTGACCTGTATCTCGCCTCCAATAGGCGTCAACCTGAAACCGTTTCGTACCACTACAACTCTCTGTGTCCCTGACCCGCTGTTTGGACACGCTGAGACTCATGTGCTTCTGGCCCCTGAAGGCCTTCCAGTTCAGAGGCTGCTGCTCAGCTCTCTTTCTAGTCAAGGCCTAAGCAGTGGAGGGGGTGTCCAGTTCGAAGTGTGGTGCAGGTTTGTGGTGGTCATTGGAATTCCATAGCTTAATATGGCTTAATACTTACCAGTTTCATATAAGGGATTGTGTGCGTCTGTAGGTATTATTATCCAAACGTTCGGGACCAGCTGGTGGCCAAAGGAGTGCTCCCATTGGCCAAGCTGTGTGCCATGGTCACCATGCAGAGACAGCATCCGAATGAGGCTCAAAAGTTCTCCCTGCCCCTGATTCCCAGGACGGACAGTCCCACGGGGCATCAGCCTCATCCCTCAGGTACTCAGACAGAGAAATGGCAATAATACAACGCGTCGACTCGTTCTGTTTCTTTATAAGTTGTGGCTTATCCGCCATGTTTTTCAGGCCTACTCGATGTGTGCATTCGGTACAAGCACCGACCGGTGCGACCTGAAGGTCGGACCAGTAAAGGAGTCGCCTCTCGCGTCGTTACGCTCGTGGTCCAGGTGCACAGAGCGTCAGGTCTGCAGGCCGCAGCGAGGTACATTCTTACCAATGTCCTACTGAGAGCTTTATTGGTCTTTACAGTCTGTGTGGAGAGCTTTGTTTGCTCTAGTTAGTATGTGTCAAACCGTCTAACTGTCTGGGTTTTAATGCATTTTCTAGTTAAATAACTAATTTTACTTAAGATAGTGTTATGAGATAATGCCAGTCATCTATTAGCTATTAGTACTGCCTCAATGCATTCATCCTTTTGTGCTTCTGCCTTTCTGGTTCAGGGTTTTATCGGAGCAAGATGAAAGATTTAGCTACTTTGCCGGGGTGGGCGTGAACTCGTTCATCACGGTTGAGTTCTCCTTCTTGCCTGAGAGTGAAAGGAGGTGCACCCGCATGGCCCCCAGAACCTTCTGCCCGGAGTTCGACCACCACATGGAAGTGTCCTGTGATCTGCTTCTTGTGAGGAGCAGCGGAGAAACCTGCAGCTTGGCTGAGCAGCTGGTGGAAGCCTCTGCTGTCTTCACTGTCTGGAACAAAGACAATCGCAAAGGTTAATCAGGCTTATTTGGTTTTACATACCACAATTCCATTATTGATTAAATATTACAAATGTATACATTATATTGTGTTATTTTAGCAGTAAGAAGTGATCATTTTGGGGGAATGTGTCTCCATTTTTTCATTTAGTTTTTTTTTCATTAGTTAATAAGACATTTCTATGGGAGCAGTGATCATTTATTTTGTGGTATATTTGTTGCAGCAGTGCACACTTCTAGACCTAAGGATGTGGTGTTGGGCACAGTGAAAATACCTCTTGCTGATCTCATCCATAAAAGAACGGGTACGCTGCGCTCTCTCGCTGAAGGCTTGGTCCAATTGCTCTACTTTAAAATAGCCAATTCGCTTTCAAATAATAATGTGTTTGTTTCTTCTTCCAAATCTAAAGGTATTTCTGGCTGGTTTGGAGTGTATACACCTCAGGACCAGCACACCTTGGTTGGGGGCCTTGAGATCTCCGTCACCTTTGCCCACCACTCAGACAGGGAAAGAGTCATCAAAGCTGCTCAGGGGCTCAGCTGGGAAATATCCCAGAATGAAATGCTGGTTGATGAAGAAGCTTTGGGAGAAGGCAGGAGAAGAATGTCTGTGACATTCGCGATGCCCAGAGCTTGGATACCTGTCCACTGCCTGCTTCTGCCGGGCCTCAATGAGTTGGAGCGCTCCACCTACTGCTACTTCAGGTACAAGTTCTACGACCAGGACGCATTCTGCTCCCAGATGAGACACCCCGCTGTCGAGGAGGGCAGCCGAGCCACGGTGGCTTTCCAGGAAAGTAGAACTGTGGAGCTGAAGGGCACTCAGCCCTTGATGTGGTATCTTCGGGAGGAAAAGCTGGAGGTACAGGTGTGGGTTGCCTTCACAAAAGACAAAGCCCAAAGGCCCCGAGACACAGACCGACTGGTGGGTTCAGCGTTTGTGGATCTGTCCCCTCTCACAAAGACACCCTCGCGGAAGCCAACTCTCAGTGGTAGGAAACGACTACTGGTAATATAATGTATATGTTTACTGTGCTGTAATAATACGATGACTGTATTTCTCTACAGGAGTGTATCCCCTGTTCAGACGCTCAGCAGCAGATCTACAAGGGGCTGCTCTCAGGGTGCACATCGCCCTGACAACGGGGCCTCTACATGAGGAAGCATGGACAGCCCCTGCTGGCGTTGACCTCCAAGTGGACTCGGACAGCCAGGAGGAGCCCTCATCAGAAAAGGTGGAAGCAGCAGATCGAGCCCCCTCGCCCACTACACCCAAAACATCACCACGAGGACACAGGAACAAATCCTCCAGATCAACCCCTCACATCGCTTCGGGGCAGCACACAGGAATGAACGAGGATGACTCTTTCCCTGTGACTATTGCAGTGGACCAGGCCATGCACCTGAATCTGAAGGGTGAGCTGGAACCCTTAGTTATTTTTTGTTTCATTCCTAACATCGTTACCGTTACCAATGATTGTATTGCTGTGGCTTATGCTTGTCCGGCAGGCTGTCCCCTAGCAGAGCGCAGTGAAGGGTCACCATCCTGCTGTGTTTCGTACCTCACTGCAGACTCGGCCGAGCCGGTGTCCACAACTGTCCTGGCCAACACCGACTGCCCTGTGTGGGACCATCAACATGAGTGCAGGTTGAGTTATTTAAACAGAATTGAATCCAAATCTTTTGAGAAAATGTGTTATTTGAAATCTCATATCAGGCTGATGATTTGCATCAAATTCACAGGCTTTCCAAGCAACTGCTTGTGGATCCACAACAGTCGCTGGTGTTCAAAGTCTGGCACAAAGGAGGTACAGGAAGCAGTTTCACTGATGTATGTCACATTGATTGGCTCGATACATCAGTTCACCCTTGCGTGTGTTTTTCTTCCATAGAAACAGAGCGGGTTATTGGATTTGCCCCAGTAGACCTGTCCCCTTTAGTCTGCGGCTTCCAGTCAGTGTGTGGTTGGTACAACATCACAGACTTCAGTGGTCAGTGTCACGGCCAGCTTAAAGTGTCCATCACTCCACAAAAAGGGGTCCAAGACCTCAGAGAACAGAGAAAAACTGTGAACGAAGAAGCTTCCAAAAATTCCCCGGTGAGAGAAATTCTTCATGAATACAGGCTGGATTTGAATTGTCAAAGAAATGACCTCCTAACCACTAATCCATCCAATACGCGGTCATGGAAAGATGGTTAGGAGAATTCATGACGAGTTACAACCACGGTGTTAAAGGGAATCCAACTCACTTTCACTAAGCTACGTAGTTTTGATGCTACGGGAGACGCATGTTAGTGACGTCAGTCAGCAGCAGCAAAACTCCGAAAATGGAATACAAAGCATGATACGTGAATATTAACTATTGCCCCCGCAAAGAATTGTTAAGCTAAGTAGGGAAGCATTGAAGCTCCTGTCCTTAGAACTCAAACAGCTCTTGTCATGGTGGCCACTTATTTCCGGGTCATTTCACTCAGTTAACAACCTTTCTAAGCAAATTTGTCAATTCCAATTCAGCCACAGTAAAAAAAAAACAGAACAACTTGTTTATTTCTCATTTTAATCGTGTTTCTTTTATTAGAAATCTTTATTCCAGGCACTCCCCCTCAGCTACCACACCACAGCCACATACAGCAGCTTCCCCTCTCACATCAGCCGATACTCCGAGCAGAAGATCTCGTCGCCTGACCACACGGACAAGCTGTTCTCCGAAAGGTTAGTAGAACAATTACCATAAGCTTGTATGAGATATGGACGTGGTCCGTGACGTCAACCAAAGGATCCTCAAGAGCCGTTGTGAAGCTCAAAGCGGGCCGCCCCAGCCGACGGCATCTTGGTTGTGGCGACAAAGCCCAACTCGTGGCTAATCAAAAAATGATGAGGAGGCGGAGCCGAGGCTGGCTGACAAAGCACAGGAGGCAGCCAGCCGTTAGCAACCTGTATCTCTAAGAGACCACGGCCTGAAGGAAGCCTTATTTAGGACAACACTTTCTCTCACTTTCTGTGAGATAATGACAACAACAAGACTGAGCTTTTTGAGTTACTGGCTTACAGATTTGTGACATTGTGTCTAGAAAATGTTGCAATTGTGACCAAAGGGGAACAGGGAACAGGAGTCTGGAAGTCCTTGCAATCATGAAAAGGTTGACAGCAGAATTTTCCTGGAGCACGTAGGCCCTGAAAAATCTATATTATTACATATATATTTGGAAAAATACATTCCACGTTGTATTTATCCGTCGCCTGTACTTCTGTTCAGGTCAAGTGAGAGTGAGCGCCACTTTGAGCACATGGACCAAGTACGTCATTACCATCAGAGTCTGCAGGAGCAAACAGCGGCTCATTCTGACATCAGTCCCTCCAGCTCCTTTCTGTTTTCAGCACTCAGGTATCATTGGTCTGAAGTACAGTTCATGTAGTGATTGTCTGCTCTCTTTTTCTCAAATGTTAGTTTTCACAGCTCATTGCTTTTACAGGAAAAAACTAAGTGAGCTGGACCACATGCAGAGATACTTCAGCCGTAAGATTTCTACACCGACGTTCCCGTCCGTAAGTGAGCAGGAGGGTCCCGCCAAGCATGAGGAGCAGAGGGACACAGAGACGGACACGTCTCAGCTGCTCCTCAAGTCCAACCACTTGGTTGGACAAGTTAACAGTATCATTAATGGTGAGCTCTTCTCCATGCTTAAGGGCTCCACGTCATGGGTCTAAAATGACCAGGAATGTGTTGCAGTAGTAGTACTAGTTGGTACATCTCAAGTAAGAATATTTTAGCCTCTAAATCTGTTAAAATGATAGTATCTGTTTTTCTCAAATGTCCAACATATTGTATGCATATGTAATATATTTTTTCATTTAAAGATCATTCTTGGCAGGTTAACTTTGCTCTTTTTTGCCAACCTTGGCAGTTCACCCAGAGTTCATTGTGGACACAGTCTACTGTTTAGTATATGCACTTTTACCCATGAATGGAGGCATCACTGTACCTTCTGACTTCTTAACAAGTCCCTAATAAGGACCAGTGCTGCTGAAATGCTTTTGCAGTTCTTACATTTTACTTTAAGGCTGCATTAATGTTTATTTCTATCATTAATCTGCATTGTTTTTTTGATTAAGCAGTTCATAATTTTATCTCTGTACTTTCAAAGGTGATGAATTTGAATCACTTGTTGATTTTCTTCTTCCAGGTCTACGAGGAAACCACCTCGAAACGATTCCCTCAGATCCCCAGAGCAACTCAACCACTTCTCCTGTTGGAGACAACTCTGAAACTCTGCCTGAGAGCATCTCCAGTCCACGCAGAGCTACGCACGCTTTCCCGGAAGATCTCTCTCCTCTGCACTCGCCAAAGGTGTCTGGAGTCCGTACTGACTCTGAGCCTGAGGAAGAAAAGAACAGTCGAATCAACAAGGTCACTGCCTCCGAGGACGAAGAAGGATCAGACAAAGATGAAGATGGGACAGGTAGCACCCAGGATGAGGAGGCTGATGATGATGATGATGAGGAGGCTGATGATGATGAGGAGGATTACGAGGAGGTTGTGGTGAAGCCGAGGCATCTGAATGAGGTGACCTCGCTGACAGACAAAACCAGTCCTTGGACCAGCATCCTGTCGGAGCCCGACTGGATTTCTCTGAGGAGCCCGGAAGCGCCAGAGGAGCCGTTTCTGAGCGAGGGTGAGGACGAGAAAAGACGGGCGGTACCTCGTCAGTGCGAAGGTAAAAACAAACGTGCCAGAAGTGAAGGAAGTGACGGTTTTAATGGATCAGGGGGAGAGGTTTCGGACACAGAGCGAGACTGTGAGAGGACGATACCAACTTTAGACGAAGGACTATCAGACGAGCCCGACCACCCCAACAAGGAGGCGAGGGACAACGCTTCATCACCCACCACAGATACAGACGATGCTTCATGCTCCACAAGCGCCCCACTCCAAACGTATCCTTGATCCACATTTGCTAACAGATTAGGTCTGGCTGTCATCATTTGTTTTTTAGATAACGCTTGAGACACAGTCTTTGACATGCATGTGTGATGTCATTAACAGATGCAGGCAGCCACCGTCAGTCCCCGGTTCTTTGTGTGGTTCAGTTTGGAACGGTTTGGTGTAACTATTGGTTCAGACTTCTTTTTGCTAGTTAATGGGAGGATGCAGATTTCTTTCACATTCACATTACCGGCACAAATTAAGACGAACACGCATCACAAGATAACAACTTGTGTGCATTTTGGCTTTTTGAAACCATCTTCAAAAACCACACGCACAATAACTCCGAAAATGTAAAGCTACAGCTACAGAATATTACGATTACAATTCATCTCATGAATCTTTGATCTTAAGTGGAATGCCATCATACCATATTTAACTGTTTTCTTTAACATTTAACATCCAGCTTGGTCCCTACGGAGATCCCTAATTTTTTCCTCCCCTCTCACCAACTGGAGGCATCTATGAGAGTCATACGTTTAGCTCCTTCTTTCTCCAACACAGTCAGAGACCCGGTGAGTATTTCTCACCAACTGCACTCTTCTGGCAATAACTAGTTATTTGTAGATCACGTTGCACTTGATCTGAAGCATACTGAACAGAGTCCTGTCAAGAATAATGACACCGGAACAGCTGGTTCAGCATTATTTAACTCCCCCCCTCCCCCCCACTTTGGCAGTTTTGGGGCCCGGCTACTATCTGACTTAAACAAATATTTAAACAATGTGCTGTACATACTGTTACAAGATCATGAGCTGCTCTGTGTTGTTTGTCCATTGTTTAACCTGCAAAGGAAAATGCTTCATCTATCTGCCCTCATTCAGTTTTTATGAATTTATTTTTTGAAAGGAGTTGACAAAGTAGTTTTAACAGTGTTGAGGATCCGGATCCGGATTTGTGATGTTATCCAGTTTTCCCTTCCAGTCCACCTGATTTTAAAACACTTCAAACAGCGACAACAGCCAGAAAATCTTTATTCAAGAATAAAACACTTCCCCTTTGCCCTGATAATAAATCCTTCTACAGTCAGGCGTTTGTGCACCTTTGTAAATGGATGCAGCTTCCGGGAGGGCGCGGCCATGTTGGATATGCGTAGGCGCTGGAGTCTGAGGTGTGCCTGTCCCTGGGGGAGCCGGTTCAAACTAGTCACTTGTTGCTGATCTCCTGATTGTACTCCCAAGTACTACGGAGAGACACGTGACTATCTGTTAAGCCAAAGAAAGGCTTGCTCTGTTTGAGCAGTCATTCATACCACACACACCTCAAACGCACAATAAACTATCCCATCACTAATCACTATGTTTGTTTTGATTTTTTCTAATACAACTAGAAGGTAATTTTCTTAGGCTGGTTATTTGCTGCAGCACTCACACTGCAGGAATGTTTCCGTTTGGATCTTTCCAGGGGACGAGCGCTCCACATCACAGAGGTCCCGGACAGCGGCCCAACATGTCGCCGTCATCCATGAAGAAGGAGACTGAAAGAATTAAAAAAATATTTGCGGCTCGCTTTGATGTAAATAACTAGTTTCTGTTTTTTGACTGTTGTACAGCGCAGCAGTTTGATATCATGTAAATTAAGTGTAATATTTTGCATTTTTATAAATAAATAACTATTTTTTTTGTCTGTGCTTGTACAGTGGATTTTGTTTTGTCTTACCAGAACCTCCTTGTAGGAATAGGCCTCAGGCTACATTAAAACTCGTGTTCCGACTGATGCTTTATTTCTGTTTGGTTAAAGGTGAAAACATTTCCATGAATATTTATCTACTGAACATCTGAACACGTGTCAAGGCCTCTTTCTGTGTACCCGCATAACTGGATATATTGGTAGTTGTAAAATGCTGTTAAAATATGCTTATGCAGGTGCGTTGCAGAATAATACAACAGTGAACATTCATACAAGTGTCTCTACAAAGTAACTGCATTTAAGAGCGGCGCAAAACAAGTTCTGCAAAGCCTCACAAAAAGACCGCCGTTGTGTTTTTCCACATCTTTTAATACTAGTTACACAGCAGATGTTAAGAACTGTGTGTGTGTGTGTGTGTGAGAGTGGTGGATGGGTGTGAAAGAGTGATGTGTGTGTGTGTGTGAGAGAGTGAAATTCATTCATTACTGGAGAGTAGCTTTGAAAGAGGTCCGTTGGATGTATATGGGTTTCTGTTTTTGAGTGTGTGTGAGAGAGAGAGAGAGAGAGAGAGAGAGAGAGAGAGAGAGAGAGATGTGTCTTTAAAAGAAGCGGAAGCAACTTTTCCAAATGGTGTCGGCATGGGGAGACTCGTCTGCGCGTGACGTATTCAACTTTTCCTCGCGGGGCGGTGATGACGCAACAGCTGACTGCGGAGGGGCCGGACCCCCTCTCCCCCCCTCCCTTCTCACCCCCCCGCCGGCTTCGGGACGTCGCTCATAACGCCGTCAGGTGTTTGCGGAGGCTGGACGCTGTCGTCTTTCATCAGGAATTGCTGGGGGGGGGGGAGTTATTTAAACATTTTAATACCTGACGTCGGCGAACTGGACGCGACATGAAGGGTCAGACGGTTCATATTCAAGTACGTAAACTAAGTTAGGATATACTTGTTTAACGCGGACGCCGGGCCGTCGCTGCTCAATCTGCGCTTTCTACTTCTACTTCATGCGACCGTCGCTCCTCTGAGCTGATCGGCGATGGGAAGCGCAGGAGCTGCTGATCCGTCCCCAGCGGCCGCCGTCAACATCTGTTCAGCCGGAACAGCTGGCTGCGTGGCCGAGCTGGTCACTTTCCCCCTGGACACGGCCAAAGTCCGACTGCAGGTGAGCACTGTCACCTGTAGCCCACGTAAAGTCAGTGGTGCCGATTCACTGTTTGAAAAACTGAGGTTATTATTACCCCCCCCAACCAATCCCGTCACATATTTGTGAGTATATCCTCCTTAAACACCAAATTCTGCACATTTCATAGATTCATATTACTGTTATTATTTTATTTTTCAATTGATATGCATTGTTAGATACCCAGCAGTATGAAGTTAGTAAACCTACAAGTGATACAACAACAATTATGATCCAGTTGTCCCTTATAATATATATATAATATACCTTATAATGAATTTCTGTGAGGCGTCCTCAAGACTCAAACATCAAACCCACTGTGCCCTTCTGTAGTTCTTGTTACAAACTGTTTCAAACACTGACAGAAATAAGTTGGCGAGCTTGCAGTTTCCAAAGCAAGACGGGTTATTTGACTTTGTTTTGATGGTACTTTACCAACCTAAGAAAGGTCATGAGTACTTTCCCTTCCTCAGGTCCTCACATCCTAGTGAATTCCCTGGATCAAGGCACTCGGTGGTGTAGGACGCTGCTTCTCGTATTGTTTATCAGCAGGAAGAACAATCTTAGAATAAGTGCTTGTTGGAACGTGTCAAATAATAACGTAACACACAACAATTTAAAAGCAAACTGGCAGCAAAAGACGCAGCCTCACATTCCACAGATCACCAGTGGCCTGTGAGGGAATGTTTTGAACATTTTGTTCTCTGCTTCTATCTGACTTTAGATTCAGGGTGAATCCAAACCCTCACTGGAAGCCCAAAGGGTAAAATACAGAGGCGTTTTCAGGACCATCTTCACCATGGTGAAGACCGAGGGTCCCAGGAGTCTTTACAGCGGGCTGGTGGCGGGGCTGCACCGACAGATGGGCTTCGCCTCAGTCCGCATCGGCCTGTATGACACCATGAAGCAACTCTACACAAGCGGGTCAGACAGTAGGTGTCCAAATGTGTCAGACACTCAAGCTGTTGAGAAAATGATCTTTCCCTGATTGACTTAAACCGTATAGTGTTAATAAAAGAATCCTGATTATATGACGGGGCGGCACAGCAAGACGGTCCCGCCAATTGTGATTGACCACCAGTCCAGGAACTGGACCGACATCTGCACGCCAGACGCCATCTTCAACGTAGCTGCCGTCTTTACACCGCTGTGAACTTGTTTGTGGCATCAGAGGCAAAACGAGCGTCTTTGCTTGTATCGAAGATGCAGGAATCGGGGCTCGGCTGCTGGCGGGCTGCTCCACGGGAGCGATGGCGGTGGCCGTCGCGCAGCCCACCGATGTGGTGAAAATCAGGTTCCAGGCTCAGGTGCGGCTGCCCGGCGGCGGCACCGTGAGCAGATACAGCAACACGTTTGATGCCTACAAGACCATCGCCAGGGACGAGGGCGTCAGAGGGCTGTGGAAAGGTGAACAGGAGGACTGGGCTTTCTAGGTTAACGTAGCAGGCACTCAACGCCTGCAAGGCGGCATATTTCCATTCTACCCTATTTTGTCTGGATAAAAATGGGAAACTGTGTTTTCAGGTTGTCTGACGAATATAACTCGCAACGCCATCGTTAACTGCTGTGAGCTGGTGACGTATGACGTCATTAAGGAGCTCATCCTGAAGTACCACCTGATGACAGGTGAGGGTGAACTTGTCTAATCAAGTCCTTCGCATTTCGGCCTCGCCCTAGTAACTAAAGCAAATATTTTTTGTTTTCCAACAGACAACATGCCGTGTCACTTCACAGCGGGCTTCGCGGCGGGTTTCTGCACGACCGTTGTGGTGTCTCCCGTGGATGTGGTGAAAACGCGCATCATGAATTCGACGCCTGGGAAGTACAGCGGCGCTCTGAACTGTGCCATGACCATGCTGACGAAAGAGGGAACTACAGCGTTCTATAAGGGGTGTGTGGTTTCATTACTTTTGCCATTTACTTTTGCAACTTTTGTATTTGCTTATGAAGCTTATTTGATTCCTTCCATCTCAACTTGCTTATTTTCTGTTGTTGTTGTTGTGCTTTATTTTATTTATTTTGAAAATAAATAAAATATAAAACGAGCGGTGTGAATCAAAAGCAAGCACGTTGGAGCCCCTAATACAAGAGAGTTTGACAAATCAAAAAGTAAATGAATTTTCTCCCGCTTCATCTCATTGTTTTGTAGATTCATGCCTGCGTTTCTCCGTCTGGGCTCCTGGAACATTGTGATGTTTATGAGCTATGAGCAGCTCAAGAGAGCCTTCGTTAGATTCCAACAGTCCCGGGATTCAGCGCTCTGACAGCTGGTTTGCTGCTGTCGATGTGCCGTCTGCATCGTGCTGCCACTGCTGATCCAGACCTTCTCTCCCTCTCAAGGAATACACTTCCCTTGCTACAGAAACTCCACTTCAGAGCAAACCTGCATGGATTATGAATGTTGAATTGTTACTGACGTTGGGCACATTACCAGAATAGATCTAGCAATGTTCCTGCTGTGCTTTTTAAATTGGCCTTTTTCATTGGGAGCCTCTTTGGCATGTCACAAGATGTATCGATGAAACAAACAATGGCTGAATTCCATTTAGCTGCTTGAGTTTCTGGGTCTTGTTATTTGCCTGAGCCTGAGGCCTATCATGCTTTACTGAGACATTTGACTCAAACAGGGTCATTTTTACTACTAACGAGTCCTGTACTTCTCTTACTTCAAATTCAAAATATAAGGAAATGAAGTACCTGCACGGGGAAGTGTGGTGTGGATGCTTGCAGGGTTTCCTGCACATCTTATTTCATATCTAGTGTCATGTGAACATTTTTTATGTAGTCTTTCAAATGAATGTTTAGGAATTACAGTTGTAATTAACTGTTATATTACATTATGGAATTATTGTTTCCAACAAATTACACAATTGTGTAATATTCATATGTGCGGTCGCGAAGAGCAACAAATCACCACAGGGGAGAAGCTGGAACCCGAACATCCTCAAATATATCTGATACTCTCCGTATCATATAGGTAATAATAATCCATGCAGGACAAACCCACTGAGTATCATTTCCGCATCATCTACTGCAGGCTGGTGTCATCGATACTCTACTGCATAATCCCCTTTAAATGCGACTATTCAATGCGAAGATAGAATGACCCCTAACTGTGCGATCCGTGTCTTATACTGACAGCCAATGGAAAACCTTTCAGACATGGTTCTAGCTTTATAAAAGCTGTGTTTTCATTAAAATTAAGCTTTTACTGTGTTTGACTATATTTTTAGAACATGGTCCAACATCCCTTGTTGTACAGAAAGATACTGTGTGCTTTTCAGCAAAGGTGACTTAATAACTGTCGTCATATGCTTTTGATCTCCCCACATTTCTGTGCACGAATGACTCCATATTCCATCAAACAATGCAAATACACGAGGTGAAAGAGACCAGAAGAACAAAACATTCAACTGACTGATAAGAAAATTGACCCATTAGAGTCTTGTGGGACAAAAGAGGCTGCTGACAAAGTTGTAATTGAAGTCTGTGATGCAAACAAAAGGGTTGGGTCGCACACAAAGACGCCGAAGAGGTGATGCACTTTACACGTTTACCTTTGCCCTTTTTATGAAAAGACATTAGTCGATGTAGTTAATGCTAAGATGAAGCGGGGAAAGTGCGTAAATGAAAGCGTCGTTGCAGACCTCGGCAGGAGTCGCTGCACACGGATGTTCACAGGCATCGAGTGTCGGCGAGCAGTTCAAGTTCACTGAGGCAACAGCAGCCGACACATTTCTGACTCGAGGAAGCACTCACTTGATCTCACCAGATACGCTGCTCCACATTTGCTTCTGGAGCAGTGAACCATTTAAAGTCGGCGTGGTTGTCATCTGGATGAACCGGTTGTTGATGCAGTCTGCTGACTCCATTGTTCTCCCTTAAACCATCTCTCCCTCTGTGTCTGTCTGTCTATCGCTCATCTACCTCCTGCAGATAAATCCATAAATGTGATGTGTTAAGTAACAGTTAATTACCTTTGTTTTAGATTTCCTTTCTCTTTGGGGTGAAGACTTTGGTGGGAAACCATCAATGCCAATTTGTCCAATATAAAAATAATAAGAAACCTCTTATTTCCTCTTATAACCTCTTATCATAGAATTAGTTATGAAATTATTTGAGGTTTAGATTTTTAAAAATAGATAGTCATGAGGAGAATTTAGTTGTCCCTCTGGATTTATATTGTGGTGGACTATTTTAAAGGGAAGATTATTAAGGATCACTAACACAACCTTTAGAGTTATATATTATATATCATCATATTTTTCATTAGTGTAAAGTTTTAGAATCGTGACAATTTAACAGTTGGATTAAATAAGACCACAGTTAGTGAGATAGTCAAACGTATGAAGCTATACTGCTGACTATATTTAAATCTTATTGAAATGATCATGTAAACATCTAAATTTCTACGTTTATACTTTATCATTACGCACTCTGCTCCAGAAATACGAGCTGATGTCTGACATGCAACTAATGAACATTTCCAGTTTAAATCTGATAACAATGGAAATAACTATTTTCCCTTTGCTATCCCTGTTGCAAAGCAGATATCTGAGATTTACTTCATCGTGGTGCCTGTTGGTGTCTTCTCTGATGCACCTTCAGGGGCTGAAGATGGACGGGTCTCTCTGGCCGTTTGGAGCCCCGTCCCTGCGCTCCTGGACGAAGGGACTCGCTGTAATCGTGACAAAGTGGTAAATGGTGAACGCGGTGAACGGTGTTTGCGAGGCCACCAAAGGGCAGACGGAATGCAGGGCGGCAGCAGGCGGGTGAGACAACAGCTGCGGTGAGGCTGCACAGCGGGAGGCAGTCGTCATGTATTTCCTCTGCGGGAAAATGCTGACGTCCAGGGTGAATCTCAGTGAGCCTGTGGAATGAACCAAGTTCAACAATTCCCTGCAGTCTCTTCACCAGAGTCATCCTGATGTGTTGGAGTTTCCGCAAGCTGAGAAAAGAATTGAGGAACTCTTCCAGCGTGGTGTTCCCCTCTGCGAACTTCTGAAACAGCATCTGTTGGGAGAAATATCTCATTATTAACAAACACAACAACGGACATTACGTTGCACATAATTACGCTTCTCGTTTGCTGCTGAACCAGCCTGAAATATTCTCTTTCAGCTGTTTCTCTGACAGGTCTGACATTTCTCTTCTCTTTAATGACGCCATGTTCCGCAGGCCTTTTTATGGGTGGTGATGCTGTGTTAAGACAGGACTGTATATGTACGTTTATATTGTATATTGCACAACTGTAGCCATATTCCTTGCATATTTTGTATACTCTAATAGGTGACAAACAACAAAGTGATGAAGACCTCTAATGTCGTTGTACAGAGAGTGAGTGACAAACTGGCCTTGTGGATGGAACACAGTTGGGCGTATTACAAAAAGTCATTTGAAAAGCACTATCGCAGTCTACTGTGTACTGAAACAAACTCTTAACAAACAAATTGAATACAAGCAGTATTTCTACACTCGAAAGATAAGGAAAATACACACATACTGATGCAAATCAAATTGAACACTTACATCACACTCTTGCTCTCCATGTTTTATCTTCTGCATGAGACTCCGCAAAGCATTATGGACACTGTATTTTTCGGCTGCAAAACCAAATATGCAAACAGATTAAAACATGGAATACAATAAATGGATTATATATTTACAAACTCACCAATGTGTTCTTGTTTGGCCTGGATGATGCTTCTAAGGTTTTCCAGCAGCCTGTACTTCATTGCTAATAGCAACTTAGTGTCTCTAAATTTAGGTTTTTGAGAAAGACCTTTTTTGGCAATTTCTTTATTTGAAACTTGCATCTTCTCTGCAGCCCTCTGCAGCGCCTGAAACTGGGAACGACCACGAATAGGTCAAGAAACATTCAGAGAGAACTTTCTTTCCTAGTAAAGGAAATATGTTCTCCATAATATGAGAAGAAAAAACAAATCTGCAGTCCAAATGATTTTTGCCAGAGTAAAATGGGATTTTTTGTTATGTCACTCTACACTCACCTTCTCACGGCACCTGATGGTCTGATTTATTTTGTCTTCATCTTCCAGCATCTCCCGCAGCTCTCCTGTCCTCAGAGCACCAAACGGCACCCGGAGGGACATGATGATGACTCCTCTTCGCTTCACCAAAGTTCGGTACCTGTTTGTTCGCGATCCGTCCAGCTGGGGCGCCACGTGACGCCGATAACGGTGCATTCAAGGGCTGTCGGAAAGCCACTCGTCTAAAACGCACCATCGCGAATGTCTCTAGAAGTCACTTCATTAAAAAGAAAACGATGACGACATTCTGCAGTCGCGTTTACATTTATCCACTTTAAGTTTCCGTTCATTTTACAAAATGAGTAAACTAACATAAAATAATGTATTCATCATAACAACGTCTCCTTACAACGTTTTGTCACATGCATTTTACTGTAAGGATACTATGGCCTTGTATGTATTTACCATTACACGTGTGTGTACACACATGCACGCACACGCTGACCCGTCTCTGCCTTAACAAACAGGACGTGTCCTTTGCCTCGGCTATATGTAGCCTCAGGTAATCCTTTTAGAGACGAGCATTGCTGCTTGTCAGTGAAGGTCCGTCCCTGACAAACAGTAACAGATCAACCTCATCAGCCATCAGCAAAGGACTCCTCCACCTTGTGAGTAAATCAGATCATTCACCTCACCTTTCTTTAATCTTGTTTTACTCTATCTTGTTTTATTCTTATGTTGCACCAATGCACCAAGTCAAATTCCTCTATGTGTAACATATGTGGCCATAAATGACTTCCGATTCTTCTGCCTGCGTTATTAGTGTTAGATTGCAGTCCAATGAGTTTCAGGTTTTCACTGCTGGCCAGCTCGTTCTTATTTAAATGTTTTATAGGTTTGCTCTTTGAAAGCCATGTTTGCTTTAAATACTGATGTGTGCAAACAGCCTTGTGTGAGGATTGTGTGAGTTACATCCATCTTCTTGCTTTTTAAAGCATTGTTAAGTAAGAAGCTTTTCAGTTCTCTGTACTCCTCTTTAGGTACACTCACACTTGAAAACCACACTTGGTTTTAACTCAAAAGGAGTTTTCTCCCGTCTGCCGCCAGACTGTAAGAGGGAGAGATTTCTCATTCTCAAAATGTGAACAAGTAATTCACTCATACAATTTAATGTGTTCAATGTCGATTAGAATAAAAAACATTCAATAAGTTTCTTCCGTATGTTGCTGGTAAGAAGACAGAATTATCTTAGTTTGTCATTCTAACTCCTGGGTGAAAGGTCACAGACCCTCTTTAGGTGTCTTCCCTTACAATCCCTGATTAGACCCGTGTTAGTGAACCTGTGTGTGTACGTGTGCTTACACTCTGTTCTTCACTCGACTTTGCAGCCTAACAACACGTCTGAGGACACAGAATAGCTTAATTAAAACCCCCTGTGCAGGTGTCCAGAGAACGTCTTAGTTCTTGTAAAATGTTAAAGGCCTATTTGCAATTTTCTTGTATTAGCCCATCTACTAAAAAATACTACCCTACCTTTCACGCGTTTTGACCACTTCCTTTGAGGAGTGCACGCACGATGGGCAGGTGTTAAGAATGAATGCTGGCTTGATGAGGAGCGGGTACACAGGTCAGCTAAGATCACTTCTTCATATCCTTACAGCTTCAGATTTCTGCCTGAAAAGATGTTGACTAAAGTGACATTACTTGAGTACGATAAGATCTGCAGCCGTGCAGAGTTTAAACTGGCTTGAGAGAGATACTCCATCTCTAGAGAAATGAGAACCGCCCGCTTAAACATCAGTGCATCTGCAAGCTGTGATGTCAGATAATCGAGCCTTTTGGAGTTATAGTCTTTGGAGTACGCCAGAAGCCCTTCGGTGCAACGCGGGGAGTTTCCACAGAAAGGAGACTCAGCTTGGGCCACCGAGTTCAAAACCTCTGGCAGCCGACGCGGCCGGTGTTCAACTCACCCGTGTTTGTCTGCCTCTCACAGTGCGGCGATGCCTCAGCAGCCAGTGATTTCACCTCGCCAGCGCTGGGACGTTAAGTCGTGAGCGAACGGGGACCAACCACCACCAGCACGGTCCGCAGGACAGAGATGGACTCGGAGCTCCACGGCGAGTTGGCCGACTCTGTGGCGGCCATGAACGTGGCCGCGACCGGTGCTCCGACGACCAGCCGGCTCTCGGGCAGGAAGATGTCACTGCAGGAGAAAGGGAGCCGCATAGCCAAGCAGCCCACCATCGAGACCAAGCGCGTGTCCATCACAGATGCTGATGTGAGGAGACTCTGAACTAACAGAAAATACGCACTGCATTTTTTACTTTGTTTCACATTTTTATTTAAGATACGTTTCACTGTTTGATTTATTTTCTTACGTTTCTGCAGGATTGTGTACAGCTCAACCAGTATAAATTGAAGAAAGAGATCGGAAAGGTGAATAAACAGTGTTGCACGTAGTCACCAAATGAGCAACGTGAAACAGAAGTGAGGACAAAAGATTTATAAAGCTGTTTGCTTTTCTTATTCCTACATCCTAGGGCTCATATGGAGTGGTGAAGTTGGCCTATAATGAAGATTCTGAGCAGTACTATGTGAGTTGAAGCTGATGAATTTTGTTTTAATCAGTTTACCTGCTAGTTCTTCATCAGCTTAATTTGCTTTAACTAATTTCTTTAAGGCGATGAAAGTGGTTTCAAAGAAGAGGCTGATGAAGCAGTGTGGATTTTTGCGTGAGTCAAAACCGTCGTCTCTGTCTACAAATGTCTCACAAGTTTTTTCCCAATTCCCAACCAATTTCCCAACTTGTTGGAGACACATCTCGGTATGTCGTTTCAGGCCGCCTGCCTCCTCAAGGATCCAACACTGTGTTTCCTCTGGAGAAAGTGTACAAGGAGATTGCCATTCTGAAGAAACTGGACCATCCTAACGTTGTTAAACTGGTGGAGGTCAGTCAGAAGATTGTGTAGGAACTTTAAAACTTTAACGTTAAAAACACGTATTTGTGTAAAATATGAGGCCACCGAACTTCAAATGTCCTGCAGGTGCTTGATGACCCTGATGAAGATGGACTTCATATGGGTAGGAACTTATCTATCTATTCTACAAATACTTAATTTAACAACTTATGTCAATAAAAATGGGCGAGTCGTTAAAGTCTGACTATTTGTCCTCAAGCCTTCGATTTGATGAAGAGGGGGTATGTTTTTGTGCAATTCTGTTTAGGCATTTGCCCGGTTCCATAACATGCAACATACGTAGTTACTTTGAAGCCTTCTCTGTACCTGTGGTGTTGTTCAGCCAGGTGATGGAGGTTCCTACCGACGAGCCTTTCACAGAGGAGCAGGCTCGCTTTTACTTCAGAGACATCGTCCTGGGAATAGAATACTGTAAGTCTGCAGATTGGTTAATTACACTCAAAACCTCCTGCAACCGTAGCTTTTAGAAAAAAATGTTTTCACTTATCTCGGTATGTAATTTTCGGCCACTTGCTTTGAGTCACAAATCTTAAGTAGTCTAAAAATGAGTCATCTAAAAATATTGGACTGAAAAGTGTTTGGTTCCTTAAACAAGCTGAAAGTTGTTCCCCCAAACTTGAACAATCTGTGCTCAATAGTGTGACATAAAATCTGAATTAGAAAATAATAAAAAAATTCTAACTGCCAGATGACGTTTTGACCGCTTCATGTAGCTACTAAGACACGTTGTTCACTTTTTGTTTCATGTCCAGTGCACTACCACAAGATCATCCACAGGGACATCAAACCCTCCAACCTGCTGCTCGGGGACGACGGTCACGTCAAGATTGCGGACTTCGGCGTGAGCAACGAGTTTGAGGGGACGGACGCTCTACTGTCGAGCACGGCGGGGACGCCGGCCTTCATGGCCCCTGAGATGATGAGCGAACACGGGCGGAGGTTCAGCGGCAAGGTGAGAAAAAGAGACGACAGCAACCGGGCAGTCACATTGCCTTTAGATGAGCTTCGTTATGTGTGCCTGGGTTTTATTAGGAAACATTTCCACCCGCCTACTGAGAGCTTTTCACGGCCTTGATGATTGCTGTTTTGTTTACCAGGCATTAGACATATGGGCGATGGGAGTCACACTTTACTGTTTTGTCTTTGGAAGGGTAAGAAAACCAAAGCACATCAAATATAGAGCCAATGCCACATTTGGTTCTCACAGTTTTTTTTAATCATGTCGCTTTGTTTTGCCTGTTCCAGTGTCCTTTTTATGACACGTGCATCCTCTCTCTGCACAACAAGATCAAGAACAAATCTGTGGAGTTTCCAGAGACGTAAGAAAACATTGAAAGCATTTCGGTAGAATAGCTAACTGGCTTATTACATAACAGGAAAGTAATGTATACAACATAATAGTACTATGTTTGAGACTACTGTAGTAATGACCCGGGACTCAGGAATCAGGAACATTTATTGCCAAAATATGTTAGACATACGAGGAATTTGACATTTCATAGCAGTGAGAGCAGTAAGTGACTTTTATTTTGATACAAAAACACCTGGCTGCAATTACCCTTTGTAAAGGTGTGAATGTTGAATTCAGGATGGGAAAAAAAAACGAGTTTAAAAAAGCAGATTGTTTGTTAGTGGAAGAGAGACGCACAGGCAGTTTCTATCTGTTCCTTGTAGCCTCTGAAACTTTTTTTTTTTAATCAAAAACAAGTTGTCCCAAGAATAAAATGTCACGCCCGTTGATGCTAGTTTTTCACACCGAGGAAGCACAGGTGGAAGTCATCTCGTCAAAGCACAGGTGGAAGTCATCTCGTCAAAGCACAGGTGGAAGTCATCTCGTCAAAGCACAGGTGGAAGTCATCTCGTCAAAGCACAGGTGGAAGTCATCTCGTTAAAGCCCGCTCAACTCTTGGCCCGATTTCTGTGTGATGCTGCAAATCACATGTTGCACCGGTGATTTGCAGCATTGCAGACAAGAAGAGAAGTCTTTAAAAAGATTAAGTCTAGAACTCTTCTGCATTGTCTTCTTCTTGGTCCCGAGTCAGGAGGAAACAGGGATGTACGTTTGTGGTGTTTCCGTACCTGGCTTCCCTAACTGTTTCAGGAAGCTCTCAATTAACTTACTCATCCTATCCAATCATTGGCACCGGAACCGCCTCTCCGGAGGTCCTTCCTGTCCTCGCCCCTCTGCGTCACTTCGTTTACACTCTCGTTCTATTTCACCAGTTAATCCAACGTTGTCTGCTCTTCCATGTTGGTTAAGCTGGTCTTATCATGTTGTGGTGTATCAGGAACCAAGGTCGAAAACATTTATCTGTAAAACAATGTAAAACTTTTTCCGCAGACCATTAATAAGTAAGGAACTGAAAGAGCTCATTAAGAGGATGCTGGACAAAAACCCTGAAACAAGAATCAACATTCCTGAGATTAAGGTGACCCCATTGACTAATGTTAAATAAGAGATTACGTTCATCGTCGTTGTTTCATGCATAGTGATGCTGTCGTGTTGTTACAGCTCCATGCGTGGGTGACCGAGAACGGCTCCAACCCTCTTCCTCTGGAGGAGGAGCACTGCACGGCGGTGGAGGTCACTGAGGAGGAGGTGCAGAACAGCGTCACGCTCATCCCAAGCCTCTCCGCTGTGGTAAGTCGCTCATCGCTCCCTCGCTTAGCACTGTTTAACTGCTTCGATGGTAAACACTGGCTGCTGATTTTGAGTATTTCAATTGAAATATATATTTAATTTCCTCTCTAGTCATAAAGAAATCATAAGTACAAGCCTGAAGATGGTCTTCACTTATGTGAAAACCATTTACTTCTACAAAAGTCTCAAGATGCAGACATTACAGAAATGAGCAGACACAAAATTTGGACATTTGGTTGATAATGTTTCTCAGTATAGGTGTCGGGGTGATGATCTAATGGTAAGGGACGGGATTATAGTATTAAAGATGCTCTGTGTTATAACTGCTGCTTTCTCTGACGTCCACTGCAGATTCTGGTGAAGTCCATGCTGAGGAAGCGATCTTTCAGTAATCCCTTTGAGTGTCTGGGCAGACGGGCGGAGAGGTCCATGTCTGCCCCCGGAGGTCTTCTTACGTAAGTGGCCTACTCGGCAAATCCTGCCGGCTCCCACTGCCAAACCGCCAGCTCTGTGACTGCCGGGATTAAGCCTTTAACAAAACACAACAGCAGATGCTTGGATAAAAACAGATCGGGCAGCTACATCGTTTATACGTGAAGCCTTTCTCTAACAGGCAGAAACTAATAGAATATAAGATCAGTGTCGTTGAAGCTAACTTTACTCCAGTTTTATGTCTATACGTCCGGCCACACAACTAAAAATAGAACACTTATTTTCCAGGGCTACAATTATTCTGTGTTTTTCATTACTAAGAGTATGAATTCTGACCTCTTACATCTCCTTCTTGCAGGGGCTCTTGGGGCTTATTGGGGTCTTCGACTCACATTCATCCTTCCTTGAGGTAAATTTGATAAAGGTTGAGCTAAAACTCCTCACATATGGCAGAGCTCATCAGTTGTTTGTTCAACTTTAAGAGTATTTGAGGGAGACGAGCTCATCGACGAGCCGTACCTGAAATAACGGGACACACGAGTGATGAGATGATCTGTGGAGGATGTGAAGTAATATGGCATTTTTAGCGATTGTGGGATGGTGATATCCTTCTCCTCATCCTGTGCAATCCTACTTGGACACCTAAACATGAGTGAACATGTGTTCCCCCACAGGAAAATCAGCAAAGAGGGAAGCAGAGAGGAGTTGGAGGATCTGTATGAAGACGATTCATATACAGAGTCAAAGGAATGAAAAAAAACATGTGTTACTTGTTTTGTACAACGTTTTCCTAATCTCACAATTTATTGTGTGTGCTTTAAAATGTTTGCTGTGTTAACGCGTCCGTCACTTTTGTGCATAAAACGTATACTTGTGGCATTTATGCACGTATGAGTATTCTATGATTATAAATATAGATCCATTAAGGCTTTTTTTTTCTCATTGTTTGTTTACTGATGGCATGTGTGATGTTGCTCATGGATGTGATATGATGCATTTGCTTTGAAAAATAACATCTTTTACATTTTCCTACTGCTGTTGAAGATAATAAGTATGTCCTTAAATAAAAGTTTTTGTTTTGACTGCAGAAAAAGGTATTTTGGGGCGTAAGTGGACTTTTTTCTTTTGATATTGTATGTTTACCTGCGTTGGTTCCACATTCAGCAAAATCACTGTATTTTATGTCTCTGGGGCCTTTTAAAATGTCAGTCATAGTTACATTTCCAAAATTCTAAAGTTTGATTATTAATACATAGACAAACATTTAAAGATTCTATCAGACAACAGAAAGGGTCACATCTCCAAAACATGCAAACCGGGGTTTGGTTTTACTTTGAAGAAAGAACGGTTTCACTATCTAATGTACGTCACCCTGCAGACCAGTAGAGGGCAGCCGGGTGTAACGAGTAAAGACAACGACAACAAACCAAGAGGCCTTCTGTTTGAACCCCTGTTAAGAGCAAATTGAGTGATGAAGACACTGAAACCTGTCGAGCTCCATAAACGCTGTTCTCATTAACTTGTATACTTGTATAACTTGTATACCTCCACACTACTCCACTCCTCCGCTCTCTTCACTGGCTACCGGTGGCCGCCCGCATCCAGTTCAAAACATTGGTGCTCACGTACCATGCTGTGAATGGATCAGGTCCAGCTTACATCCAGGACATGGTCAAACCCTACATCCCAACCCGCACTCTCCGCTCTGCATCTGCAAAACTACTCGTTCCTCCCTCACTGAGAGCAAAACACTCGACTAGGTCTCGACTCTTCGCTGTCCTTGCGCCGAAATGGTGGAACGAGCTCTCTGAAGACATCAGGACCGCAGAGAGCCTTCACATCTTCCGCCGCAAACTAAAGACACACCTCTTCAGACTCTACCTCGACTAAAGACTAACAAATTGTAGCACTTAAATTGTACTTGTAACGTCACTCATCTATAGCAAATTGTAAATTGGCTTATTTGAGGAAATTGCACTTTCTTGTTTCTTGTTCTCCTGAGTTTGTACCCTATGGTTGAATGCACTTATTGTACGTCGCTTTGGATAAAAGCGTCAGCTAAATGACATGTAATGTAATGTAATGTATACAATTAATGTTCAAAATATCATTCAGAAATAACACACCCTTAATAACCACTGGTATATTTGAAACGGAGCTACAAAAATATAATGTGAAATGTCAATAAAATCTAAAAATATATATGACATTGTCAGTTAGATACAGTATTTCATCCAAATGCAAACTGCATCACTTCTTTCTTCTCTCCCTTCAATGTGCTTCTAAAATAGAAGCCTTGTTCAAAGATAAGTGAGAGGTATGATGCTGCAAAATGTAAATTCCCTGAGGGCCACAGACAGTCGTCATGGCAGCGTTGCTGGTTTGTGAGAGACAGGTTTTATTGAAGAAGACGGCCATTGTAGAGGAGGCCTGAAGGTGAGCTGCGTGAAGTAGGGACATTTTCTGTTCGTGGTTTGAGACAGAACATTGTGGAAAGGACACAATGGCCACTATTGTACACTAGATGTACAAATAAACAGAACAAAATGGCAGAGTGATGCTGTGTAATTGCAGCTGAAGAGAAAATCACAATTATAAAAAATGTAGTAGAAAGTAAAGTTAAAGTAAAAATTATTGAAGACAAGAGGGAACTACTTTGGTAGAAAAATCTAGCTAACTTGACCATAAACAGACTGGGTTGTATGATTTGACAGTCTGCTGGCCCTCTAAATACCATACATGTATGTGCAATGATGACAACTTTAAAATCTATTCAGTAATGCTGCGAGAGTTAAGAGTTAGGTGTGACTACCAATACCAAACACAAGAGTGGTATACATTATATATCGTCTCCCTCTCTGCATGAAACTATTTACCGTAATGCTTAAAGAACAGGATAAAAAACTTCATTGTCTTTCAAATATATTTTCATCAAATGGCTAGAAATAATGTCACAGAGGAAAGCTGTTTGCCATTGCAATTATCTCACTGGTATTATGTGATTAGTTTTGTATGGCAGCTGTAGTAGCAGGTGTTCCATCACAAACAACATCCCACGTCCACTGAAAACATCCCACATCCAGTGCAGAGCCTCTGCGAGATGGTTCATGAGATCATTTGTATTCCTGCAGTCAGCCCATTTTTCGTGTGTGAAGACCAAAGCAAAGATTTCTGTGGAAACTGTTGCCATGCAACAGCACAATACTGCGCTCATACAGAGTAGTAACTCCACTGTGCGACTGCTTTTCCTCCTGAGCTCAATCCCTGAGTAGTGCTGCAATGTTACATTCTATTGTTCATTACGACCTTTATATTTAGGGCTGTAACCTCCGTGTCATTGTTTCACGGAGGGTCAGGGGAAACTCAGCATCTGGTCCCCGAGTCTCCCCTCGGTTTTCCACATCCAGCGGTACTTAAAACTGATCCTGGCTCTCACTACTTAGTCTGTATTTCTGTGACCTCACCACTGTTCCCCCCTACAGCCCCCCAACCCTTTTCTGTCACCACCACCACCACCGACCCCACCGGCCCGCTGTCAACTGGGCTGCACGTCCCCTCAAGGCTGCAGAGTGGAGGAGGGTTCTTCTTCCTCTTCTTCTTGCCTGCGCTGTTGGGAATCCCCTGTGCTCGCGTACGTAATGAGTCACCGGCTCAGACATCCGCCCGACCCGCAAACACTGCGAGGTGTAATTTGTCAACCAGTCGGCACCTTGGGAGCTGATTGTACAACAAAGCAGGACTGCTTAGATAACAAGGCGAACGAACACACAGAAGGATGATTGATGATTTATAATGAAATGCGAGTATCAGACTGTGTGTTTGTATCAGACCAGCCTTAACAGATGCATTCCCAGTAAGTATTTGATTATATTTGATTCATTAACAGTTAATTAAAACATTGTGAGCCTCTTTTTGGCCTCTGGAGTTAAGATTTCCAAAATAGATGACAGGTTACGAGGCAAAGACTTGCATCACAAACTGCCAGACAAGTGACAACATTTGATTATCGCGTTCACGACGACGAGCAGATACCTGAGAGAAGCTGGAGAAGGAAGCAGAAAGGGGAAAAAGAAAATCCTTTTCTTGACATTTGATTATCGCGTTCATGACTACGAGCAGATACTTGAGGAAAGCTGGAGAGGGAAGTGGGAAAGGAAACAAGAAAATCCCTTTCTTGAACAGGTGCTGCTAAATTTAGCCCGTTGGGCCGTTAACTGTTTTCACCGTGCGCCTCCTCCCTTCTCGCTGAAGACGCCTCCCCTGGTCAGCGATCCGTCAGAGGGGGTCAAACAGATCGCTCACGTCCTCTGATATCGAGCTCTCTGTGGAGGATACTTGTATGTGTCACAGTAGGCTGGAGTACTCCCGGGGGCTCATCCAGGTCTCCCAAAAACCCAGTGCTAACTCAGCGTGGGCCCACAGACAATATGACGTATATACGTGTCTCACTGTGAAAATGAAGAGCTTGCTCTTCAGTTGGCAGGTGGTGATTTTGCAGAGGACTCATGTTGTGAAGACATATTGTGTGAGAAAAAGAATTCTCTGAAACTGTATTTTAGAGAAAATGGATGACATTTCTTAATCTTCAGCTTTATAATTTTTTATACAATAAAAGACATCATCTTTGTGAATCCCAGGATGTGTAACACATCAAATATGTCTTAAATAGTCAATTTGGAGCAGAATACGCTGAGGGACTGAGATCATTTGGCAACGTGAGGCCTTGAGACAACATACAGGATGATATAAGCGTCGGGGTGGGGACTTATTTTTAGACTCACCTTTTACAAACTTCTGTTCATCACACAAGCCTCTGTAGTTATGAATAATCACCAACAGTATTATTAGCTGATTTGACGATCTAAAATGACAACGGTGTGTGTTGCACCCGGATGGGGAGGGTTTATTGGGGGGAAGGGGCGGGGCTAAGCTTCTTCCTGTGTTGAAACTTTTCCATTGCCTGCTGTATCCTCTAATGTTTTGGGACAAGTGCTCTCTTAAAATAGCCTCTTAAAACCTACAGCAGAATATTGTGACACTTTTTGATGAATAATACAAAGCCTAAATGTTAGCGTGAATAATTTATTTTGAAGCAGTCAGGCGTGCCGCAGCTGTCTTTGTGCCTGGAAGACTCTGCAGCAGCGCTCTTTGTCCTATAATTACTCGTAACTCAAACAATACTAATAACTGCGCGTGGTGAACTTTAAGATAACAGAAGCTGATTATTTGTGTTATCTGTGTGATTTCGTCACGTCCTGTGCTTGTTCCGCCGGAGGGAATACAAACTCTCAGGAGCCATAGAGAGGCAGAAAGTCTCCATAGTGGATGGGCTGTCACATTGATGTCTCTGGTCCACTCACTGTCTTCTCACTCGCTGCGGGGAGGCCTATTTATAGATCTGTCTCTGTTCTCTGCGTCTACGTCGGCCCCCCCTTTCTCCACCGTCCCCTCCACCCCTCGGCCTTCTAACGGGTGGATATTTCTGGAGCCGAACTGCTATTATCTCCGTTGCATAGATCGCATTCAGTCAGATAGTTACCTTTTCAAAATGATGTGTCAGCATATCTGCTGCTCAGAAATGTAATCTTGTGTTTAGTCTCAGTTCCTGATGAATCTATTGCCGAGCCAAAGCATCCTTTCCAATCACTTGATTGATCACAAGCTGCAATGTTTCACCTCCAGGCCGCGAGGCTTTATGTACTGAGTGGAGGGGGCCGTATGTTGACTGTGTCAAGTCCAGACAGCCAGCCGTGACGGCCCTGTGGTTTTGTAGACGGGTAATGTGATGTTAAAAGGGGGTTGAGGGTGAAACAATGCTGACATGAAGGTATAATGTTTACAATGGTGACCATCTCAGTTCAGCGTGTTAGCATACCAATATTTACTAATTAGCATAATTCAAATTTGTTGAGTTGGACTAGACTATTTATATCAATCGTATTCATAACATGAGGCTCCAGTCAGCAGCTATTTGGCTTTGCTTAGCTTAGCATAGCTAGCCGAGCTCTGCAAAGGTAACACAATCTGCCTTTGTGCACCTCTAATATGCAATAATTTTTAACTGTAGAAAAAAAGAAGTTTTGAAATAACCTAGTTATTTGTCTCCTTAACGCGTTGAATATATCGGCCTACAAGCCAAATATCTCTCTTCAATCAAAACAGCTTATTAAAATTAATGAATGAAAAATAATTTTATTTCACATCGTCTGTCCCTTTTTCAATGAGACATTGCGGAAAGTGGCATCATCATCCACTGAAGCTCACAGAAAGTTTGTTCCAGTAATTTAGAAGGCGATTGCCTTTCTGGGACATGATTAAGACTGAATGATCTGTTATTGCTCCTGCCTCCCGTAAGGGGAATAAACTTCTGTGTGATGAAAGTGATCAGACAGAGCGGTTATTGGTTATTTAAATGGAACATGGCTATCCTATAATGAAACATCATCCGCTCCAAGGATTTTATCAAATCAAATGAACTGCTTTGACATATATCTTTCTTCGATTCAAAGGTCATTATGTACATTAATTTATGCAGCTATTAGTTGTTTTATTTATTGGTAAATGTTAATTTTTAACCATTTCAAATTGAATCTGTGGCTGCTGGAGATTCAATCACACGTCCCTCAGCAGGGCCCGGCCCTTTGTCAAATGTGACCAACATTTACCAATGATGAAGACACCAATCTTCCTAAAACTGAAGAAGTAGACTGAAATAGGCTTCTTGGTGCTGCATCCTAATGAGCTGTCTGCTTTGAGCTTTCATTTTTCTACGGGATGCAATAGGTATCTGTGCAGTGCAGCAAGGAGCCGGCTAATAGCGGGATACTTATTATAGCCTTAGCAACAGGAAGCGGATTGGTGGCTGCAGAGAGTGAGCCTGTCAGCGATTGGCTGTTGAGAAGGACCTTGCAAAACTGAGAATTTAATCTCATGAAAGGTTGAGTGCAGCAAGCTGCAGCACGGTGCTGCAGTCGGAGAGTGAGCAGTCCAGCAGTTTACCACTTCAGGTGATCAATCAGTGTGACTTCCTGTGTATGCACAGGTACTGGGATGGACCGGACATATAGGTGTATATAATATGACTTGCATGTAGCCTTAAAAGAATCCTCCATTTTTAGTCATGAAATAGAGGATTTTATATTCATTGCAGTGCTCTCCTGCTGCAATAATTAAACCGGCTGTATTTTTCATTAATGCCCTAATTTAGTTAATCTTTAGCGAGGTAGGCTTAAAATGAACTCATTTAAGATATAGTGTAGTTGTTAAGGGAGCTAGCAGTGCATCAGCACTGGAGCTTATTCATACTCCATCTCTATAGTTCACCCACAGACACTCAACACACAGCAGGTGTGTGTGTGCGCTTGTGCATTCAGATATGGATGCACAAGCGCACAACGCACACACCTGCCCACACAACTTCCTGTGTAATTGCTTGGGCGGTAAAATTTCTTCGACATTCAAAAAAAAAATGTTTTAATGCAAAATTTAAAAAAAGAGCTGAAGTGTTTGTGTTATGATATAAATAAAAATATAGAGTAGAACCGTTAAACAAATAACTTTAATGGGCAACAGATGGCAATCAAATATTCCTCAGAGCATACAGTTTGTATTCCTGTCGCCCCCCCTGCAAATATCCAGCAGGTCAGCTTCTCTTTAAACTAATTCACGATTTTCTCCTTTTCACCTCACTTCCTGTAATTGTTTTAATGTCACAGCGGAAAAATGGATCAACATCCATAATATAAACAATAAATAACTAATTATTAAAAAATCAGCATAATGCATGTATTCTTGACAATGTCTGTTATTTCAAAAATATTCACACAAAGATAATGAGAGAAAATTGCCGATCCACTCTTTTTTAAAAACTCACTAAACATAAAACAGATTCAAATCCACTGTAATATTTATGAACTGTGCGCAGTTGTGCAGTTTCTCATCAGGATTTCATGCTATTTGTATGGCGAGCCTTCAAGACCAGCAATATGTTAAAAATAAATCAAAGCAGCTGTGACATACAGTGTGAGCTCATGGAGGCTGACTCATGAGGGTGACATGTGAACAAGGTTGTGTGACTGACCTTAAGGCTTTTGGTTTCTCTCTTAAGCCATCACATCTGTGATAAGTCCCCAAAAACTGCTATCTATTAGGAAAAAAAAGGAAAACTGCCATCTGTATGAATATATTTCAATGTAATAATATATAGCAGTAGCAGCATTATGAAGATAAATGCATTCAGCAGCTTCCTGTGATCTGGAGCGCCCTAGTGTCTAAAGTCGGTTCAGAAGACGTTAATTATCACATTAGCTAATCTGTAAAACCAATATTACTGAACTGCCTTTGCTTTCCCGGTGACTCCATTTGTGCATTGGTGTTGAATATTCATATCTATGTGCTGTACAGAGAGCGGTACCATCCAACACATATCAAAGTGAGGAAAATACAAACATGCATATGGGAACTTAGAATACTGGCAGATACATCCTTTTTTAGTAAAGATTGACTCGCAAATGAGGCATATTGAAGAGTGATACAGGCACAAAAAGAAAAGCTGTACTGGACAATACACTAGACCACCACAGAAATGGTGCATGTATAATTTAGTCATATTCTTTTTTATTATCATAGCTATTATTTCGGTTCTTGTGCAACTGCTACATAATGACTCACATTCAAGATATTTTGTCACTCAGGAACAGCAAAAAGGTATAAAAGAAATGTATACTGTCGGAAATAAAATATGGTCCATGTTTGTGGATTCACAACAGAAACATTGAGCCTGAAAACGTCACCATTAAAACTGGGTAGCAAGACAAAAAGTACTTGAATACTGTTCAATGTCATAATCATACTTCAATGTGACAAACGCCAGCTGGTAAGATTGAGTGATCACTGGTGAGTTTTTATATTTTTTATCTTTTCTTTCAGTAACAAATTAAATACACATATTGCATGTCACTATAGCAACACTCATTACAGGTCCATTTTTACGATCACCATTTTGGTAAAGCAAATCAAAAAGCCATTAACAAATGAAATAAATTAGGGATTAGAAGTCAACATCAGACGAAGCTTGTTTTTCTCAATCATATGAATACTTAACACCCACAGTATAAGTTAATAAAGTCAAGCTACTGTATATAAATACATCACCAGCATGCACAATATTGAATATTGGATATTATTGTTGTCATCATCTTACACTGAAGAAACAATATAGTAGGCAAGTGCATTTAATAAAACAAACACAGAAGTAAACCACAAACTCTAAAGCTGCTTTTATTTGTTTTTTGTTTTTTTGTACTTTTTATGTTTTATATTGTTAAGTCTCTGCCTTTCGTAATCTTCACCTCCAAAATAATCTACGGTTCAAGTGACATTACATACCAATCGTAACTTTAGGAAGGGGAATCAATGTTTACTATTAAGTCCTCAATTTGACTCCTGCCTAATTCATCCTTTCAAACGTTTGGGGAATTAATCTAATTACAACTTTCTCTTTTCTCGTTGGTGTGGGTTCAACGTCAGGCTGAGGGCCCCGTTTCTCATAGAAAGACTTACTACTGGAACCAATGCAAACTAGTTTTGTGAGGCATTCCCATTCAAGCACGTTCTCTCTCAAGTGAATCAGATGCATCCCTATCACGCAAAAGCCTAACTATGCAGCTTTGTCTTGACGGAACGAGATCAGTTCCTACGCCAGTGTGAGGCTGCCATTTCAATCCAACGACAACCACTTCAGGCTGATTGACTGACACATCAGTGGTTTTGGCAAATGTCAAAGAGAAAATCAAGAAGACGGAGGCCCCTTTCAACTGTATATATATTTCTATATATATATTTAAACTAAGATTTAACCTCCACTCCTACCTCTCTTTTGATTCTTTTCTTTTAACACATGGAAAAATAAAGAACTGCTGCTGCGGTTGTATCGTCGGCAGAGGTGGCTGCCAAAGTCCACCCGCCCCTTCATAAATATATTTTTTTTCAAAGTGTGGTTTCTCTTTAATTGGCGCCCTCCCCTCCCTCGTCATCCTGCTGGTCACTTGTCCACAGTGTCAAGTTGTCTCGCAGCAGCTGCATGATGAGAGTGGAGTCTTTGTAGGAGTCCTCGTTGAGGGTGTCGAGCTCGGCGATGGCGTCATCGAAGGCGGTCTTGGCCAGATGACAGGCCTGCTCCGGGGCGTTCTGGATCTCGTAGTAAAACACCGAGTAGTTGAGGGCTAAGCCCAGGCGGATGGGGTGGGTGGGCTGCATGTGCTCCTTGCTTATCTCGTGGGCCTCGTTGTAGGACTTTTCCGAGGACTCCACCACGGTGGCCTTCTTCTCGCCCGTGGCCACCTCAGCCAGGTACCGGTAGTAGTCGCCCTTCATCTTCAGGTAGAAGACCTTGCTCTCGTGCTGCGTCTCGCTGCAGTTCTTGATCAGGAAGTTGTCCAGAAGGTTGAGCACATCCTGGCACACGGCCTCCAGCTCCTTCTCAATCTTCTCCCTGTAGGCCCTCACCATCTCAATCTTCTTCTCATTGCCGTCGGCCGAGGTCTTCTGCTCAATGCTGGAGATCACCCTCCAGGACGAGCGACGGGCACCGACCACGTTCTTGTAGGCCACGGACAAGAGGTTCCTCTCCTCGTTGGACAGGGCCTCGTTCAGCTCTGTTACCTGCAAGAGGGAGACAATGGACCATTTCATCACCTGAGCATTAGTCTTGACTGCACCAGGTATACAAATATATTCACTATGAAGACATATAATCCAAGAGAACCAAGTGTCTTTTCTAGAGCCGGCAATCGTTTTATTGTTCCAGTTACTTTAAAAGGGAGGATTTTCTGTTTTGTTCTACCATATAGTTGTTAATCTTCTTGGAATATTTGTTGGGAGAAAGAGGCAATTGTAAGATGTCACATTGTGAGGGTGCCTCTTTGGTTTGTGGATTAACATGTTAACCGCTGGAAACTCAAGTGGATTCAGCCTGGCTGGTGTCCATTGATGCAGTTCATTAGCAAAACATTTTTCTTGAAATTAGAGTTTGACCAACCAATCTATAAACAAAGTGATCAGGTAGATGATCCACAAATTGTTAGTTGCGTCCTTATTATAAAAAGGTCTTTTCATGTTAAAGACAATGGTCCACAGAAAAAAAAGGAAAATATTTGACTTGTCATGTTTAAGCTGTATAGTCTCCATGACCATTTATTCATTCAGAAAAATGACATGTAATGTAACGTAATTTAGTGCTCCAGGAGCTCCAGCTGCCAAATGGAAAAGCTACGCAAGTAACAATATTCAAGATAGTTGGCAGCAGTGGGGGGACGGGAAAGGAAAGGAGGGCTGGAGAGCTAAAATGTTCCCACTGGCACTCCGGGCCAGCTGCACTGTCAGTGAAACGCATCACTACACAGGCAGTTCACATGTCCCAGTGACCTTCTCTGTGGCTCAAACTGACCTTTTTACCTGTCAAACACCAAGCTGTGACATCACTCTGAGATCGACTGTTAATTTTAGATGTTGACGGATCAGTTTCATAGTTGGGTTGTTGACAAAAGAGACTATGTTGCCTAGAAAAGGCCACCAATTCAGGGTTTAATTAATTGTAAAAGTACCATTGCGTTGGGTTCTTTCATCAATAAATACATAAGGGATGTAAAGTGATGCATAGTGTAACTTGGGCTTCACAAAAGCGTTTTTCTGCTTTTATCTGAAAAATGTCTCGTTTTTAACATGCTGAGCTGCACAAAGATGGCGCAAGATCCCTGACGTCACAGACTCATGAAGAGCAGGGCTCGAGCTACAGAGACGCAAAGGCCTACTGTACATCCACTGTACGCATGCAGACATCAAACATGAGACATTTATTGTCAAATATTCAAAGAATAGCTGAGAGCATCCAAGTGACAATAATGTCACACGTGTGTAAATTCAAGGGCTACATAGTCCATGTCGAATACCAACATCCTCATTTAGAGCTAAAAAGGCCAGAAAGCTTTGACGAGCTGTAACAATAGTGGACTAATGAATCAGGAACAGAAAATAAATCAGTATCATTCGTTTCAGGTATGTGTTGGTTTTAAAAGGTTAGACGGAAAATGAAGAAATGTCGCTGATTAATCATTTGTACGGAAATCATTAGCCAAGCATAAATATAAAAACTACATCTAAAAATCTCCACAAAAAGGATACATACAAAATATATTTCTGACCTTAATGGCCAGGGATTCCCTTTGATTAGACTCAGAGTACACGGCCCTGCAGAAAGGCCTAGTTTGGACCGCACTGACACGGCAGATTGTTTAAAGGGAAAGGAATCCCTCCCTGCACACACACACACACACTCCGTCCCTCCCCCTGCAACCAGAAACCCCCCTGATGACAATCCACAGGGGCTCACTCCGTCCCTCCTGAGGAACATCAGACAAAATGTTCCTACTTTAAAGCACGCATGACAATCTGTGTGTGAGCTCACGCAGGCTCCTGGCTGAGACCTTCATGATGCCTTTTTTTCCAGTATGAGCTGGTGTTACACAGCATTTTATTGAACACATGGGGGGGATAGCATCCATATAGTTTCTTTAAGGGTGCCGGGATTCGAATAGAAAAAAGGCTGTGCCCCCCCAGTGACAGCTATTAAGAGGTGAAAAAGATCCCGTCAGGCTGGTAATTCTTCTATGCTTCATTAGGGTCCTCAACCCAAAATGACTTTAAAATTGAGAGAGCCCGTCCACATGAATGAGGAATGTAGTTAGGTAAAAACAAAGCCCACAATCCTGATTATATTGACTCACTGCAATATGACAGAACATTCTAGAGAGAGATTCTGCCGCCTCCAACGTTAGTTCAGAGTACAGAGCAGTTTAAGGGCTCCTTTCAGAGCATTCATACCAATCATGCTCCAAAAAAAATCCCTCTATGTGATTCTTCCATGAAAATGGAGTAGATTTTGATCATGCATATCATTTTGATTCATGTTACAAAGAGAGGAGGAAGGAGAGGAGGAGGAGGAGGAGGAGGAGGAGGAAGAGGAAGAAAAGAAGGAGGAGGACGAGGAGGAGGAGGAGGCAGCAGCCGTTGATGGGCTTTTTCGGAGCAATCTCGCATGGTGGCAGAAGCTTTTGTAAATGAGGCATTATTGAGGGAGGCGGGTGGTAAAAACGGAGGAAAGGCAGCTAATGTAATAGAGCAGAGCCTCCATATGACTTGAGCTTCTTATTAACCGGGAGATGAAGCTCATGTGTGCATTTGGATGTAATATCCCTTTGAATGAAATTAGGCTCGGCCAGCAGAAAGGCACCGCCCAAGGAGCCGACGATTTGGACTCGACACAGAAAGAAAAGCCCTGAGCAGTAAATGAATTACTGACACGGCAAATACAGAAATTAAATATGCTTCCCCCCCCCCTTGATTGTAAAGCTGAAATATCAAGCCAGCAGTCCAACAACTACATGTACGGTCAACACAGTGGATATTGTAGGACGCGCCTTTACGCAAAGTAGCATTTCTCATGCACGGCATCATTAATCATATTCTGTATATATTAGACTTACCGATTTCATGGAAGCTGCCATATCATCATATCTCTCAGCCTGTTCAGCCAGCCTGGCTTTCTGCACCAGCTGCTCGCGATCAACCATTTTTCTAATGACGTGTAGTTGCTTAGTCGAGCTGCTGCACTTGAATGTTTTTGGGTGGTGAAATGAATGATATTTTAATCGCAATGCAGTGAAATCCTTCGCGAACCGAATGCTGCAGCTGTTCCCTGCTGTCTGCCTGTGCTGCGCGCAGACGGGACACCCTCTCCTCCCTCCCTCCCTTCCTCTCCTCGCTCCCTCCCTCCCTCGGCTGCGTCATCACCCGGGAAGGTTGGTGTCCGTGCCAATGATGTAACGCTCCATACTTGGAAACCAAAGGCGCGCAGCGATGGATGGGAGCAGCTGGGCCCAATGCCTTGTGGGACATGAAGTCCTTTGCGCTCTTCGCTAGAGCTGAAGACCTGTGGGAAGTAATGGATTATGGAGGAGGGTCACATAACCTAACACGGGTTGTGCACACGTTTAAATATCAGTTACATAACAGTGGGGCTCCAATGAATTTGAATTGGTTGAAGCTTTTTGGTCTTACGTAAAATAACAGCTGCGTTTCATTCACACGTTCTGACTTCCTAAACAAGTCTTAACCAAGTCGTTAGAATTGACCTCTCTCCTCAGGCCGCGGGGCCGCTAGACGCTTTTCAAAGAAATGTAATGAACGTCAACCTAAAAAGGTAAAAGTGATGTCCTTCCCTATTCCCTGTAGAAGTCACACCTCACGTGGAGTGTGGAGAATGCAGAAGAGAGAGACTGAGAAGGGTTGTGTGCCTTGTGATCCTGGACCCGTCATAAAAACAGAATTGGTCTCCGGCAAACAGGCAGATAAATTTGAGTTTTATTAGGAGGCCCTGCTGCCTAGTTTGCTCACCACCACCATGGTGACGGGTACAGGTTCTACTGGTGAGCTCGAGAGGCTTTTAAAAACTGTTGGATTATCAGAGGAGACATCAGACATTAGAATAGATCCCTACATATAATGTTGGGAGCATTTCTGTTGCCTCTAAACCACTCTGACATGGTGCCGGCTACGCTAGCAGCTAACAGGGCTAGCATGCAGCATACATTTAGAAATAGACCATTAACAGCTCTACAATAATTTTATATTTACAATGACACAACTGGGTTTCTTATAAAAGCCTCAGACAACTACTTGTGTGCTATTTGGAACCTCTCTGTTATTACCAGTATTTCTCCTTAACAATCACATTGTCCTATAACAGCATTAATACTGTCACGACCAGGCCGGGCCTCCTGTTCCCCCCGTGTTCCCTTCTCTCCGTTTCCCCCCGTCAGTCTGTGTGTGTGTGTGTGGCTCCTGGTTTTCACTTATTCACCTCACTTCTGTCTACTCAGCTATCCTTCCATCAACCCATCTACTCAACAGTATCTGCCTCGGCTTTCCATCCACTCACTGTTTGCTGTTACAACTAAAGTGCTTGTTAGTGGTTCTCGACTGTTCAGCATTTCGTATATTTGAGTCAACTTAATATACGGATTGTATTTCTTATCTGCTTACCATGTGTACCTGTGCGCAGAGGATACCCTCCTATCCACCGTAATACGTTCTGGATATATTTAATTAGAGAGGCAGAAACATTTGATTATTTATTTGATTTTTAACCATGTGATTCATTTTTTAGACACACAAGTGTATTTCACACGTTATGTCATTTTTTATTTGGTATAAATTGAGATTGTCCAATCAGATCAAAGTTTGTGTCTCTGGATGCGGAAGGAACTTGATAAAAAAAAAAGTTCCTTAATGTCATTAATTGAAGTTGATTTAGTTTACTTTTAAGTTAAAATGTATTATTTTGGAAAACACACAGGGAGGATATGCAGCTATTCGGATGGACGTCTCTGTGAGGCTGATCTGATTATTACTCACTGCGTCGCTCTGTCCTTCCTCTTCTTGCCAAAGACGATTCTACTTTATTTCCAGACAGATGTGTTCCAGGACCTTACTACCAATACACCTTTTTTGATTCCATCTTCAACTCTCTGTTCTTGGCCGTTCTCCTCCATTTAGGGAGTAATATTTTTCCTGTCAGGCTTCATTGCTCTGAAGGAGTTTCGATTTTTTTCTGCTCGGCCGCAATATTTTCGTTTGTCAGCTGAAGGTTAATAGATGCTTTGCAAATTTAAAATGAATACATACAGTAAAACATTTGGGATTGTTATTCTCTCTACTGTCTAATAATGGGGCAAAAATGTGCCACAATGATCATGGTTAGGTCACAAATTTTAACATTAAAGTAAAGTTAACATAAAGTTTTTAGAAAAAGTGCTTAATAACTGAAAGTGAAAATAACTTTCAAGTAGAGAAATGTCATCTGAGTTTTATTCCCTTCTTTCCACTGCATTTTCTAGGGGAGAGTAAAGGGGTTCGGTTTGACTTAAAGGACCTGGATGGACTTGTTCCATGTTCTCAGATGTTACATTTGAATGTTTTTATTTTACCGTGCCATCAGTGATAACTGAACTCTAATCACAGAACACAGCACTTCGGATCCTCAAACCCTTAAACTTAAGGGGATAAGTTCATGAGCAAGCTGCCAGTGAGTTTGTGCTTTTATAATAAGATGCTTTAGGAGCAAGCAGTGCGAATAGGGAGAGAGAGTCTTACATCTCAGCGTCAAATTTCAATTTCTGAATCTCAAAACACTGTCGGCTTCACACGTTTGTTCATAGCTCCCTCCTCTGGCCAAACATGGAAATAAAGGTTTCTGAGGTTGAAATGTCAAGTTCTGCACTAAACCGCTGATAAATTCGTCAAACCACCATCTTTTTTTCTCGCGGGAGGCCTCGCACCAGAAATTTGTTCACAATAAACCCACAGCCTACGTGTCCACAATCCACTTCTGAAACTTTCCGTTTCCCTACAGGGAGAGATTATCACCTGCTGTCCTCGGTAAAAAGAGAGTAAGTGCTGACTTTCAGCGTAAACTGGGTCAAGTTGTATGAGAAGGAAAATCCTGCCACTTCACATTTGACCCCTGGCTTGATGTTTCAATTCAGATGGTTATTGTACAGATCTGAGGCTTCAAACTAAGGAATATTTCTTTCATTTAAAATACATCCTCATAGTTATGCTAAACTTTTTTAAGAGATTAAGATCAATTTTTTTACATTCATTTTTGAGAACCATAATATTATAATTCGGGCAACAAACTTGATTCAATTTCAATGGATGCTTGTTAAAACCTCCTATTTAAGTTTTTCTCATAGATAGATGCATTGAACCGTGTATTAATATTTACACGGATTTCTCAGCTGCCACTTTTATGTTATGAGCAGCCTAAATCTGATCCAGATGACATACCAGAGGTTGCAAACCAGTACTCCCATTACGGTGCACTGTACACTCTTATAGTGCATGAAGTAGTGCTGACTTAAGGGATCCACTTGCTTCAAATAGGATTACAGTTCTTTCTGCTTAACTTAGTTATCTCCAATCAGGATGAGGGCGAGGCGTGGTTTGCTGTTTGCCAACAGCCGTCTTTCTGCAAAGTTGACAGTGGAGTGCTGACGCTGCTGCAAATGGACACAAGGCTGGAGGTGGATGTTTTGATCTTCCCAGATAAAGTGAAAATAGCTTCTCCGGAGGAGCTCTCGGAATGGGAGCTCGAGACCGCGAGCCAGGTGTCGATTCCCAGCGTACGACTCTTTGTGGCACTTTACCCCTACAACCCTGCTGCAATGTCCCCCAACTATGAGATGGCTGCAGAAGAGCTACCTTTTGTTCCGGGCCAGATAATCAAGGTAAAGCGTAGAACAGGTCAAATGCAGTGCAATTATTTTATGGAGCTCTTCAAGTGTGCTGGCATGTGTATGTTTGAGTTATCAGTATGTCCTTACTTCATCCGTTGAAAGGCTTCTTTATATGAATGTGATGGTGTTTTCTGTTTGGCCGACATCCAGGCCAGCTGAGTGTGTAGGAATCCGCTCCGTTCTTTATTTCCTCTCACCTTTCCCACCTGGATGGTGTGACTTTCACTCAATATGCTTTCTTTTCCCTTTTCTCTGCATGTTTTAGGTGTTTGGAGACAGAGACTCTGACGGTTTCTATCGTGGTGAGTCGGGGGGTCTCTCCGGTTACGTGCCAAGTAACATGGTGGATGAAATCCCAGTGGATGACGAGTACCTGAAGCATCTACTTATGCAGCAGGGTTTCCTCCCTGTGGACCATTCAGGTATCAGCCCCCCCTATCTGCGCTGTAACGCGCCACATGAGCACTAAAAAAGGGGTAATATATTTTAATATATTAAACTGTTTTGCCTAAGTTGTCAAAGTTAACAGTAGGAAGTTACTACAATAAATGAACATGTAGAAATAATGTGAATGAAACACTGATTTTTTTTTTTTTACTCTTCAGTCAGTTTTTTAAACAGTTATATCCATAAGCATTGCTGCTATATGGAAGATGTGATTTCGGAGGAGTGCCGTGTGTTTGGGCCTACAGGCATGTCTTTTACACCTGATCTGAGCGAGGTGGCCAGTATCCCCGATGACGTGGTCGTTCAACGAATGGTGGCCTTATTCGACTACGATCCATGGGAAAGTTCACCTAACATCGACAATGAAGTACAAACTATCATAATACATTAACCACATTCTGTTTTGGGCTTATTTCTTTTTTCAAATAAAACAGTATGGTTTGTTGTGACACGCAAAACTCTTTTTGCCTGTTAAAGGTTGAACTTGGCTTTCGCTCAGGAGACATTATCTACGTGTTAGGTGACATGGATCAAGATGGGTTTTACTACGTGAGTGTGCGCTTTAAAATGAAAGTAAAACAATTTGTATTAGAAGTTCTTGCACTGAATTCTGCACAAAAATGTAACTTTCATTTCAAATTCAGGGGGATCTGCACGGACGGAGAGGTTTGGTTCCATCAAATTACCTGCAGGCGCTACCCTGGAATTAGAAGAAAACGTCAAAGGCCCCCAAAGGCACCCAGAAGGATCAGTAGCTTTTATTTAAAAATAATGTATTTTTTCAAAAGATAAATAGTATCATAAATTGGAGCATAATAGTAACAGTGATTAGGAAAAACTTTTTAAGAGTGTGTACATACATGTGCTTTACATCTCGAGAGAGTATTTTTATAGTACATACATTTTGCCTTATATCCTGTGTATATATTTTTTGTAATATATACTATTATACTGTAATATATAATATATAATTTTATAATATATCATAGTTTTTCATGAGGAAAGTTGAGGAGAAAGGTTTTTGCAAATATTTTAATTATATATTTATATTCTATTTATCAACAGTACAAAGGAACATATTAACGTTATAAGTGGCAGACGTGTAAAGCAGAGACTCATATTAAAATGCATTGGATTTGTACGGTGCTCACCGTTTTTCTCTTAACTATGAATCTCAGCTACTTGTTTCCACTGATGTGTGTGATTTTACTATGTTCATTGAAATCAGTTGCAGGTTGAATCATTCGCCATTATCATTTAAATGTGTAATAAATAATCATTGAACAAAATGACAAAAGCAGGAGAAACATTCTATAGATTTGTAAGATCTTCACACAGAGTCCGTTGGTTTCTTCTTCTCTCTGCAGCCAACAGTACACTCATCCATAAAGTAGGAAACACTACACTGTGTATTGAAGATTAGTAGTGCTTTCTACTTTATGGGTGAAAACACTGTAAATCAGTAGCCTGTAGTCGTTCCACAGCAAAGACTCACAACATGATGTTCAGTAAAGTCAAGTTTAACAGATTTTCTAACAATGATCAATATCTGAAAAACATGAAAACACACAAACAGTATTTCAAAGTAATTCTGCTCAAACTGACCCTGATATAAAACATCAATGAGGCATAAAGCGCTTGTGAATTTAGGTGAATTCGAAATGGATCGATAGAACAAATGAAAGCCGAGATCAGATTCTTGAATGAAGTCACATGTTATCAGGGCCTTACCAGCTTTTGGACTCCCCAGCAGAAAGAACAACCCAGAAGTGAACAGGGTCTTTTTATTACCCCCGTCTGAACCACGTGGTTAACACAGGAAAAGCTGTCACATACACACACCTACACACATGTAAGTTCATGCCAGGAAGTGAATGCAGATGCTCACACACACGCACACACACACGCACACACACGTAGTGGTGAGAATTGTATTTGAAATATGTACTTACAATTTTTACTTTTTACTACTATGTTACACTGGAAGAAAGATTCACAATCTAAAAATACAAAGTAACAGTACCTCTGAATTGACTTGCATTGTGCACCAGTTACTTTTCACATTTGCACACAGACAAACGCCCGCACACACACTAAGAGACACCCAGTAACACATGCAAATTTAAAACCTACGCCCATGAGGCTCCGTCAGACTGCACCACTGCCGCCAAACGTTTGTTCATCCCTTTTAAGGACATGCAGTTAAGAGGTGACACCTATTTTTAAAGAAGGAGCCATACACTGAAGTAGACCAATATTGATGATCACAGTGATTACTAATGCGGACGTGCATCAATAATCTCAGGAACACAGTACTCTAATGCAATGAAGCGTGCGCTTCGACTGAAATAGCAACATAATAATACAACATCAAAGTAAAGATTAGCAGCAGACTTGTTGTTTGCGTGAGCATCTTTTATGTCAAATGTTTGCAAAGGGAGTTTGGTGGACTATTAATTGAGACACTGTCCTCTATTTTAGTCCAAAATGATCTGTATGCATTATACAGGAAGAGATTCATAACGCGTCTATGTTTCCGAGAACTCATTCACGCCTGCATGTTTCTGACAAGGTGTGGGTTGGGTGGTGGTGTTGGTGGTGCAAGGCTCTACACGATCCCAGCAGCCAATGTGCAATATGTTTGCAACAACAGAAACTTTGCAAATAGAATAGACAAGTGCCTGTGTCCTCCGTTGTCACGACAACCCAAACCTCAGAGTCACACCAAGTGAAATAAGAGGAAGTGGGGGAAGGGCAGCACTCTCAAACCGAGAGAAGATGTCCGTGTAGAAAAGAAAAAGAAGAAAAGACGAGCGAAAACAACTGCATGCAAATGGTGGAATTGACAAAAAGTTGAATTTCCTGCAAAGGACTCTAGAGGAATATTGAATGCATTCACCCTGTCAAATACCACATGCAAATAAAGGCTATATTTTCACGTGTTAATGGGTGATAATAATGTGTGTTCTCCAAGACAACAACAGAACCTTGTGAATGACAGATTACCTCAGTACTCCTCTGCCAAAGGTTGGGGTCACATTAGACATCTATTCCTGTGCAACATGGGAGTTTATCCAAAGTGAATTCTCCTCAAGTACGGAGTCCTACTGTCGGTAGTCAGGGGGCCAAAAACAAGTGCATCATCTAATGACACCAGGGGGTATTATCCTTGCAGGTCACTGACTAGGACTGATTGAGTTATGTCCTTGCTGACTGATCTCAGACACAGATAATCCTCTTCTGTTGTGTACAGGGGTAGATGTAAATATATATATTTCCCTTAAATGGGTTGCTGCAGTTTAAGTTATTTTCTGAGTATTTATTTGACTATTATCAACTGCCTTATGACATCATCGCTTTAGGGTCTCTAGCAATTCACACCGTGAGAGGTGAACGTTTACCACGACTGTCAAACATAGAAATCAAATATTTAAGGGTATTAATTTATTGTTTTAACACTGTATGCAGAAGGCTTCTGCAACCCAGATTTGAACACATTCAGTGAAACAAATTTTGTTTGGTGCTGCCACGTAGTGGATGTTAGGGGAGGCGACGCTCTGACTAATATCAGATTAAAGTGCATCATGGTAATGCGGACAGGAAGAACAACAACAACATATACAGCTTTTCTACAAAGCACAAATCCAACTAATGTTTTCATTGTTTATTGATTAATTGTATAATATAACAACTGAGACAAAACAGTGTGTAACATAATCTGAGCTTTCTTAACACACACAGCATCATTTAGACTATTAACTGGTGAGAAAAGACTGCAAGAAAGGACAGTTAATTTATAAAGAAAACACTTTTATATTATAAATATATGCAAGAAAGAAAGCTTTATAGAAAGTTTAAAAAATAGAAATAAAATATAGATACGTAATTAGGTGTCCAGGTGCTAAGTCTACATCTTGAACATAAAATGAATGCGAAATTAAGCAAATAATGCAAATTAAGCATGCTTTGACATATGAAAATCACACGCATTACATACAGTTAGATTAGTTTCTATTTTCTAATCATACACTACATAAAATGTCAATAATTTGACAAACATCAATGGATTCAGTTGTTCATTTATCAAGGTGTAGTAAAGTAAACAGAGGGAGACAAGAGAGTGTAGTGGATACCAGCACTGACGTGATGAGTAACACATTGTTAAGCCCGGCGCGACGGCCTCCGGAGTAGAACACCTGACGTCCATTCAAGGGCTGCACGGGTCTGTAGGTTTGAACCATCTGCTTTCCGTTTGAAAACTGAAGCTGGGCGAATAGAGCGAGCTGCAATAGAGATCACAACAGACAGGTGAACGTTTTTTATAAATACATTCGGATGCGGTGGTAGAAGCTTCTCTTTGTGCCATGACAACGATATAATGGACATTGATTGCCACAGCACATGATATTCCCTAAGTTTTGGGGTTCAATTAAACAGCCTTTTCTGTTCCCATTTAGCATGATAGCATATCTTAATTATAAGCTAACTTATCGCTTTGAAGTTGTACAAAATCGTGTCAAAATGCAGGAAATTGCATTCAAATCAATATATATTTAAGATAATTTTTTATTAATTACCTGCTTCATGCTTATTGGAACTGTGTTTTCAAACAAGCTCCAGGTGACAGCTTCAGCGCAGTCGGGTGTGGTGAGGGAGCCATCGTAGCGAAAGTACTTGGTCATGTTCCTCAGAGGAGGCATGAACATTTCCAGCGACACTCCCTTTAGCGTCGTACTTTTGGCTGTGAGATAAGTTAGCCAGAAATGTATTATTAGACAAGAAATGGTTCAAAGTGACAGCTTGGTTGTCCATTTCTTTGTTGAAATGTTATAAAAGCAGTTTTATGACACTGTTATCGATCAACAATTGTACTTTAGCCTAACGCTGGAGTAATGAGCCGCCCCGAAGATAATGGTGCAAAATGATCTTATTTTTCTATGACTGCAGATGTTACTTACTAGGTTGTGTGATGTATTTGAGGGCATTAAGAAGGGGATCAAGTTTCTTATTTGCAGACTTGGACTCCTGAAAAGAATAAAATGTTGATGTAACATGGACATTTTGTAGAAGTAGGTAAAACAGTATAAACTGTAGATAGGAGGTTTGGTTCAAACAGAACCTGGTGCTTTGTTGAAGGTTTATGTCTTCCTCTAACCTTTGATCCACAAAAGTTTGGAAAATGTCAATTTTTTTTTCTCCCTACATTTAAACACTCCTAGTGTCTGTTGATCCCAGAGTGATAGTTGATCAAGAATAACAGGAACATTATGACAAAGCGTTAAATACACTTTAAATACATTTTCACTTGACAAATGTTTGTCCAGAACAACAGATATTGCACAGGCCTGAGGCATCAGCGGGACAGTTAAATATTAGGGTCATCATCCATCCAAGAGGCACACAAAAATACAACTATAGTTTCTGTGGAGTGTGTGATCACAGTGATTGGTGGTGGAATTGGCTGCGATGCCAAAGACACCAGCTAACTTCTTGCCTGTAGGGCACCGAGTTGAAGAGCCAGCTCCGTTCATCTTAGTTGAATCAAACTCTTTTCAAACAGATAGATTTCAAGGGCATTTTGTATATGATAATAAAATTAAATCACCTGAAAGAAAAAGCCAAGAACAGCCATGTCTGTGTGGTCCCCTGAAGCCTGGGACAGATTTTTGTATTCTTCTTTTATGTGGACTATATGCATCTGTAGAAGGAAGAAAATGGTTCAGTATTTAATTAATGTGAACACAGTACGGAAAGTGGCTTAGTCATATGATTATAACACTTCTATACTCCCATATTTTTACCTCCATTGGAAATTTTTCTCCATCAACCGTATGTTCGGACCCTGGTCCTCCGTCTTTGCCCCAATGCAGGTGCAGTTGAACTGCTTTATATTCTGCAGCCATGTTTCCTCCTTTAATCCTTATACTAGAAGGTAAATCCAGTTGAACTGGGAAAAGACTTTTACATTTAAAAGAGTGTCAACATTTTGCAGCATCATCAGGTTTAAGTACTGTAGGCATTGTTCACCTTGTGACTATTTCCCAAAGTCTTTGCCAAGCTGATTTAACATCATTTATTGTCATATTTTTAACAAATCTTTCTCAATTAAAACCACAGTTATGACAAAGACGTACCACTGTGACCCGTGTTTATGAGGCGACCATGAAAAGCTTCTTCATAGCCAATGAAGTGAAAAGGAGCGAGACGTTCATCTAGCAGCATTCTGCTTGTAACAATGTTAACTGGAGACTGAGATCTGCCGTTGCAGTGCTGGGAAACCACTCCCCATTCCTCTGGACCTGAGGAAGGTAAAAGAAAAAAATGACTCCACGGTTTTTCTTAACTTACGGAAACCCTTAATGGTCTATCCTTAGGTTTACCTGCGCAGGTGTGGTTGCATGTGACTTGGGATTGGTAGCACCAATCTACAAGAAGATGTTTGAAATGAATTATTGCGTAAACAATATAAGACAGCGAGAACAAGCCCAGAGCTAAACAAATTAATAAGACTAATTACATATGTAAATTGTAATCCATGAATTGGATTAATTTCTTTGAGAACGTACCTGACCCTGAGACAATCCTCATGGAAGATACAATCAAAAATAAAATACGTGCCAACAGCATTGTGAATGTATGTGTCCCGCTCTGCTTACTTTAAAATGAATGACTTGAAAGATGATGACGGAGCTCAACCGAGGTCTCTACAGGAGAGGTAGCCTCACCTATCAATCCCGCCCACAGCATGCTCCAGATTAAGGACTCCTGACCCTGTGACAACACTGATATCTGCAGACTGATATTCAGATTTGATGGGAAAATTCACAGCCTGAAGAGGTCGTTTTTATTTTTACGACAGAAAAATCGCAGACTGATCAAATATAATTTAGGTGCAACAAGGATTGGGTTATCTTCTATGAGAAGTTATCACTAAATGACGGGACAAATAATTAGTAGTAGGTGATAGCAGGGCGTCTAGTGGCAGACGTGAGCTCTGCTTTGCGCCCCTGCTGGCTCTCTTTCATTATGCCTCAACAGCCCAACATTGTCTTGTCTGTTATTTTAATTTGGGTTGACCTCTAACCTTTAAAAAAAAAAATGCTTTCTTTATGTTGTGCTTATGCGGTTAGAGTTATGCATAAACAACACAACAAAAAGAGGAATATTTATATATATATATATATATATATATATATATATTTATATACATATATATATATTCTACCATATCTAAGGTATTTTATTTTATATATTATTTTATTACCTGTGCACTGTTGTCTTGTCTGTCTACTGTCGCGCACTAACCGCCAAGACAAATTCCTTGTATGTTTGACATATTTTGGCCAATAAATGTTTCCTGATTCCTGATTCCTGATTCCTGATATCTAGTAAAAGAACCGTCAATTTTTATATTGTATTTTCAGACTGTGTTGGAATGTTTTTCCTCTCCCAAAAATTTTCACTGCCACAACGACCTGGGGTCGTCGTGGCGCAGGGGTTAGAGAAGGTGTGCTGGGAAGCACAAGGTCGGTGGTTCGATTCCAGGCTGCCCCATGTTCCATGTCGAAGTGTCCCTGAGCAAGACACCTAACCCCTAATTGCTCCCTGGGCAAAAAATGTGAAAAAGCCATGGGTTAAAAGTGTAATGTACGTCGCTTTGGATAAAAGCGTCTGCTAAATGACCTGTAATGTAATGTAACAACAACAAAATAAGCTATAGTAAAAAGGTATTATCGTCAACGTGTTACGATTGTGTTTCCTTCCCTTCCCTTGGAAAATTGATTATTATTACAAATAATCAATTTTATTCAATTTATAAAATTCATCAAAATCTCAATGCAATATTTTTTGGTAAAATGCATAATACTGATTATATGAATTCCAGAGTTATACGGTTGATAATTGTGAACATACATTAAACTAATCAGTATCATAACATTTTAGTTAATTATTTTTTACAAAACCTCCCGTTGCTCCGTTTTGTTTGCAAGACTGTATCATATTTAACCTTATTGCTTAATCTCAATTCTCAACATACCTTAGATTGGGAATATTACAAACACAAATGTTTTGTGGTCAATAGAATACTTTTATTTTTGAAGACCTAACTGTTCATCCAGAAACATCCAAAGTTCACTTACTGAAAAATCCCTCAGTCTCAGAGAACAAGAAATAACTCATAATATCAGTTATTTGACAAATAACTGAATGTTCAAACACCATCACAAATCCATTCACCATTTATTTCACAAAAGTTTTTCACGTACTGCTGTGAACACTCTTGTGGTGATCTGAACATGTTTTATTGTGGAGAGATTAGGTGCCGACCTTGTCCACGGTGTACCAGATCTTGTCCTCTAGTCGTGACTAACAAAAGCAGTTTTGCCAAGTGTTGCGCATGACTTTGACCTTAAGGGCACCAGCAGACAGATAACGGGTAAAATAAAACAACTTGGGCTTGTTAAAACATTAATTATTATTAATAACATAAGATAACAATCAAATCCTGAATGCAGCGCGTGCACGGCGCATGAGCGAGTCAAAACTCGTTAAACTACAAATGCCTGTGCTGCGTTCACGAACACGCCGCCTCGTTTATTGACAGGGATTTGTATCGCAGTAACTTAACGCCAGCTACCTTCACTCGGCTGCAAATATACTAAAGTTGATGTTTCTGGGGACCAGACCAGTACACCGCTCGATGGACATTGGCCAAAATGTTGTCTTCCATGCACCGTTCCACATAGAAAAAGCCCATAAGTTGGAAGAGCGCAACACAACAGGACTAAAACTAATAGTAGGCTACTAATAATACCTCCCTTCAACCACTTCTAAATACTGAATTGGCAGAACAAAAAAAAGTATATTCTAAAATTGATAATCTGACACCTTTTTCCTTCTTGGTTTCAGAAGCTGGCGGTTGAGTTGCAGGCTGCAGGCCACAGTGGGGTTCTGGTTCCTTTCCAGTGTGACTTAAACAGCGAGGAGGAGATTCTGTCCATGTTTGCTGCCATCAAGGAGCAGCACCGAGGGGTCGACGTGTGCATCAACAACGCCGGCTTGGCTCATCCAGAGTCTCTGTTAAAGCGGCTGGAAGAACATGCTAGATGTACGGTTGCACACGTGCTTTTCTTTTTACACTTTTGAGCTTTTGAATTTTTTGAGCTGCTTTTATGCTGTTTGAGCATAATACTGTCAGGGCTTAGTGAAACATTTAAATAGCTCAGAGCCATCCAGCATTTTATTGGTGACACCTGGGCTGAAAGGCATTGAAACAATAACATTTTTTTAGATCAGTGAATCTTTAGTTTATTAGATATATATTAGTTATATACCACCCTCTGGACTAAACAAATCCCCCACTGTGAGAACACAGCAGATGTTGAGGGGAACATGTGAATGTATGCAATATCTGACACATAGCTCAGTGTAAAAGGACAAAAAGATGCTATTGCCACTGTGGCACTTATTTTTCTCACCGTGAGATTAAAAGCATCAAAATAATAGCTAATGTCTATTCGTTTTAACTTTTTCTTGCAGGTGAATGTTCTTGCTTTGTGTATTCGCACCCGTGAAGTGTATCAATCTATGAAGGAAAGAAATGTTGACGATGGGCACATCATAAACATAAACAGGTATGTCGTGAAATGCAGGATTTTATTATGGATTTTATTATGGCATTATAAAATGGTTATAAAAGGTTAATTAATTATCCTTTTTATGGACCTTCCTAGCGCTGCAGTCCTAAAATAATATTGATAACGCAGATTATTTTCTCCATTTATCTTTAGGACTGTTAAATGTCTGAAAGTAGTGACAATTTCCTGAAGCCTGAAGGCACAGTCTTGTCCCAACTTGTATGTGCAACTGTGCTGATATATTAATAATAAATATTGTTTTGGTAAAGCAACAGTAAAAACCTAAAGATAATTAAGTTTACTATCAAGTAAGGTTAGGAAAAGTTGCATATTGGAAATGTTTTGTTTGAAAACTGACATTATTAATTACTCAAAATAGATTATTTTTCTGTTCAAGGTTTATTGATTCATTTTCTAGTTTTTTTGCAGACTTTTCTTCAGAGCACTTTACACGATTGTTCTAAATTACATTACATAAAGAAAAATGCTTGTGACGACTTACAACTCGTACCGTCTTCTCCTCTTGCAGCATGAGTGAACACCGTGTACCTTGCTCTGCTGATGGACATTTCTACAGCTCCACCAAGTGTCTACTGACACATTCTTTATCTGATTAATTGAAGACAATTGGTAGAGCTGATCATGGAATAACATCTAAAGTTTCTATTATTTTTGTAATTGTGGATGAAATTATTTCGGACTTTATTACTAAATGGAAGGAAAAATGGTCATTTCGTTCAAAGAAAAAAAAAGCTTGTTCAAAAGTTGTTTTTGATCTGTTATCTATTTTATAACATTCGACATCTGGGCTTTTGCAGTGCAATCCTTTTTTTTTTCAAAGATAATGGTCAGGAACATGGACATTAGACAAGAGGCAGATGGCGATACCTTGTTAGTTAATAAAATCTACTGATTTAACTTAATGAGAAATGCATATTGAATTATTCTATATCTTCCTTCCAGTGTAGTATTTTATTTCTTCTACAGCATTTTAAAAAAGGCTAACAAAACAATAAAATATTAGTAGTGTAGTGGAATAAATGACCAATCCCGCTAGTGTGAGTCCATAAAATGCTGAGATGAAAACATATCACAGCACCAAACTTGTCTTTCAAAGCTTTATTCGTTGCAAAGAAGGTTCAAAGGTCATAAAGAATGCAGGTAGTCCGCATGAGTACACTCAGGTGTGTCTAATATAACATATACAGGGACAACGGGGGTCGGGGGTTTACACTACCACTACACAATTTGCCCTCCAAGGTCAGCACAGAGGAGAAAAAAAGTCAAACTCAGACAGGTGTCACGTTGGTATCTCACACAGACGTGAAAGCAAAGGTGGGAGTGAGGATGGGAGACGCTCTGTGCCACCAACATGTGGCTGGTTGAAGCAGACATTCCTAATGGTCTCAGATTCACCATCAAAGAGAGCTGCAACATCCGGCGATGGCAATGGTGTTCAAGTTAAAGGTTAAAGTAACAACAATATTGATAATATTCTAATACGATACACGAGTATAACATCGGGCATTTCTTCTGTCACAATAGACATACATTAAGAGTATGGATTTCCTTTTAAGAAACACGACGTGATGAACATCTATTTAGGTTTTGTCCACTAGAGGACACAAGACGCAACATTATGAAATTCCTCTTGAATGCTGATTTCATGGTGACAACAAGACTCACATAGAGAAGTTTATACAAAAACTTTTGTTGCTGTATTTGAATTACTTTATTGAAGGAGAACTCAAAATGTTTGTGTGTCTTCTGAAGTAATAAAGTTAGAGTATTCCTACATAATGGAAAGGAAGCAACAGGGAAGCATAATATATAATTGTTGTATAAAGCAAGCCATATGCTTCTGTTTGGTTTTGTTTACATGTATTGTGCAAAATGTTGTTTTACACATCTGTTTGTTTTCTTTAAGTGACAGTTAGGCTTGGAAATGGATTTTTCATATAATTTGGTGACCTCCTTTCTGTGGTTTCATGAAAATAAAATCATCTGCTGAGCAGGGAAATTAAATTCAAATCTTCTTCAACGTCTATTCGGTCTCCAACAGGAGTGTTCAGC